TATAAAGTATAATTTATGCATTTTTGTTTATTTGAAAGCTTTTCCACCTTTTGAGTTGATGACATGAAACCTCCTGTCTCTAACCAACCTTATGTGTCTGTCTGACATATAATATTGTAAACGTGATGATGTTGTGTCACTGCTGCTGTCTTTGCCCATCTGCTTTGCTTCTTTGGGACTTGCCCTTTGTGAAGCTCAGCCCCTAAGACTGCCATTCATATGCACTGAAACATGATGAAATGCCTTGGCTTGTCTAAGATATCTGTCAAATAAATAGCTACTATGGCAAACATTGAGGTACTCACCTGTCATTTTTGTTTTTTCTTCATGCAGAACAAATATTGATCACATTTTACAGTACAATGTTAATTTAAAAATAAGCTATATTACAATATGGATGAACCATGAAACCACTACACTTGCAAAAAGAAGCCATTCACATAAGACAACACATTTTTTATTCTATTTATATGAAACTAGGTGCATGAAATTCATGGATTTGTGTGGGGGAGGGAGGGGAGGAGGTGTCCCTCAGCCTATCCTGCACCCTCTCCAATCTGGGACCCCTTGAAGGATGTCCGACTAAACGAGCAGTCGAATATACCTCTCATAATCCAGGACTGCTGGCTTCCAAATGCTTGCCTGCCTCTTTACCTAAAAACTCCCCTGCCAGCCTGATTGCCCCTAACTGACCTGCCTGGCTGGTCTGTTCACCCCTAACTGTCCTCCCCTGCAGGCCTGGTCACTCCCAAGTGCCCTTCTCTGCAGGCTGGTTGCCCCTAACTGCCCTTCCCTACACACCTGCCCCCCCCAACCGCCCTCCCCTGATGGCCATCTTGTGACAGCCATCTTGTGTCCACATGGGGGTAGCCATCTTTGACCACATGAGGGTGGCCATCTTGTGTGTTGGAGCAATGGTCAATTTGCATATTACCTCTTTATTATGTAGGATGTCTAAAATAGACAAATCCATAGACACAGCAAGTAGATTAGTGATTGTCAAAGGCCAGGAATAGGGGAAATGAGGAGTTACTAATAATGGGTATGGTGTTTCTTTCTGGGGTGATATAAATGTTCTAAAATTAAATAGTTGTGATAAAAAATATGAATATGCTAAAAACCACTAAATTTTACAATATGGAAGGGTGAGTTGTTTTTTTTAAAATTTATTTTATTGATTTTTCACAGAGAGGAAGAGAGAGGGAAAGAGAGTCAGAAACATCGATGAGAGAGAATCATCGATCAGCTGCCTCTTGCACACCCCCCACTGGGAATGTGTCCGCAACCAAGGTACATGCCCTTGACCGGAATCGAACCTGGGACCTTTCAGTCTGAAGGCCGACGCTCTATCCACTGAGCCAAACTGGTCCCAGCTGGAAGGGTGAGTTTTAAGTTATGTAAATTAAATATCAATAAAGCTGTTATAAAAACTCAGCCCTGAGCTAAGTAACTGTTTTTTTAAAAGTTACCCTTATGTCTAAAGAGATGACTGACTGGCTAGGGTACAAAGATAAGATGAAAATATATTTTCATGATATTCATTTGTGTAATATATAGCTATGAAAAACTTAATTGATTAAATTTTTTAAAGTATAATTCTTTTGTAATACATATGAAAAGTTTTTACTTATGTAATACTAGAGTAGATCCTTACTGCCTAAATCCTTGAAGAAAATTCTGTAGTCAGTATATTTTATATAACTTGAAAATGGTGATTATCAGTAAGCCCATTATTTAAAAAAAAATAAAAAAAAAATATATATATATAATAAAAGCATAATACAGTGGAGCCTCACACAACGAACTTAATTCGTTCCAGGAGCAAGTTTGTTATGTGAAAAGTTCGTTATGTGAAATTCGTTTTCCCATAACAATACATGTTAAAAAAAATAATTCGTTCTGTAGCATAAAATATGCTAAGATGACATAAAAAAAGATAAATTTTTTGTTATTATTTTTACTTAGATACATCTAAAAACATAATTTTTTTTTTAAAAAACACACATTTTTTTAATTTTAAGACAGACTAAGTAGAGTCTACCGAATCTTGCACATCTTCATCCATTTTCTGCTTTTTGGCCGATGGTTTCATGAAAAACCTGTCCAAAGTCGTTTGTTTTTCTCTTTTCTCCAACATCTGCTGGAAATAACGGACAAGAGTATCGGAGTAAAGATCGTTGATCCTGTTTGCTTCAGCTGAATCCGGATAGTGGGCATTGGTAAACTCCTGAACTGCTTTCCATTTGACCAGGATGTTCTTGATGTCAGCAGTTGAGATTGGTTGATTGTTTGATTGTTGCTCCTCGTTATTAGATGACGCTTCCCTTTGAGCATTGTCCTGTTTTTTAGAAGCCATGATATAAAAAAAATATTGAGTTTAACTTAAAAGGACGACTGCCGTGATACGTGCGTGATTTGATTCGTAATGAAGAACGATTGCCGCGATACGTGCTTAAGTTAAGCGCAGTGACTAACGACTGCCTGCAGTGCCTGCGCGGAAGGATGCAATACATCAGCAGCGATCGTGGAAGCTCGGGCGAAGCAGTCATGGAAGCTCGGGCGACTTCGTTGTGTGAAACGAAGTTCGTTGTATGAATCATGAAATGTAGTTCGTTGTGTGCAGCGTTCGCTGTGCGAGGCGTTCTTTATGCGAGGCACCACTGTATGCTAATTAGACTGAATAGCTGAAGGTCTTTGCAAACATCCTTCTAGATAAAGCTCCGGCAGTGGGGGCCAAGGCAGAGGCAGTTATGGGCAATGAGGCAGATAAGCAGAGTGGTTAGGGGTGATCAGACAGGCAGACGAGCAGTTAGAGGCAATGAGGCAGGCAGGCAAGCAGTTAGAGAAGATGAGGCAAGCAAGCAAGTGGTTAGGGGCAATCAGGCAGGTAGGCAGGTGGTTATGAGCCAGTGGTCCCAGATTGCAGAGGGCACAGGCTAGGCTGATGACCACCCTCTTCTGTGCACAGATTTCATGCACCTGGCTTCTAGTTTAATAATGTTTTTAATAATGTTTGGGTGGCTGAATTTCCCAACCATCTAAAGTTGCAGTTAGGAATTCTTATTTGAACCTGTCTTTTCTCTGTGGGAACATTTGAGATTGTCATGAAGTTCATAAATTTCAGCACAACCTTTTCTTACTTCATCAATAGTGTTTTCTCTTGAAAATTTTAATTACAGTGAGATCAAATGAGTGATGGAATTTCTGCAAAAGATATCTTTAGGAATCATAAATGACAGCTGTTTGGCTAACTACTGGCTCTAGCCCTGCTCAGTATTTCTTATTTCCAGCTTAATATCTGTCAAACACTTAACAAAGGCTTGCTTTTAATAGGCACCTCATTCCAGATGATTACATGTGACTATATAAGTAATTGTTTTACCATTGTATGCCTTCAACTACCAATATCTTATTTTCCACTGGTAATGAAATTATTACTGTTTGACCAACACCAAATCAAATAATAAATCTTAAATTCCTATCATTAAGGTTTTATTTTATGAACACCTTTCTGACCAAATACTGTATCAGAAAATATTTAATAGAGGAAATAGAAACTACTCTGGATAGTTTATACTGAAAATAAATTTTGGTGCATACAAGAGTGTCTGAAAGGTTGGGGGAGTGAAAGCCAAGGCTATAATGAGACTTTTAGTTTTCAGAGGAACTGAACTGCCTGCCTGCATAGTGTTCCTGCCATATGAGCCAGCCCTGATAAAGGAGTTCCTGAAATAGTTTTTCAATCAATAGGACTGAGGCTCCACATCCAACTCAGCTGTACATCTATATCCCCCATCAGATTCTTCACTGACCAATCAGAGAAGCTTCATTTTGACCAACCAGGACAATGCTTTTTGGGCCAATCAAACTGTGAAGATTTGGCACCCTCCTTTGCAAAAGTCCCAGGAGTGGGAACTTCTGTCTATATGTCAGCAGCTCTCCTCTCACTGAGAAAGTACAATTTCCCTTTCCACTGGAGACTGAAGGCAGTGCTTCCCTGGCTGAGCTCAAACACCAAAGATGTCACAAAGATGTCTCACTGGAGCAGAGAGGAGCAAACCAGGAGCAGAGCTGTCTTGCCAGAGATGGGCCTGACACCAGGGGCTGCCTCCCAGCTGTGCTGCGCTGTGCTGCTTGGTAATTGAGCTGTACACTATCCGGCAGTTTCACAGCTGTGCTGTATCACAATTGAGCTGTTTGCACTAAATAAAATGTCTTTCTTCACTGCACCCCAAACTGGGGATTCCTGTTGGGATTGAAATGGCACCAATGACCATCCATTGACAGAAGACTGCCTTGTCTGGTTGTACATACTGTCCTCATGTTTTTATAGTAGTAGTGAATTTACTAGTATTAAAATTCCACTTTAATAAATTCTCTAACTGGATGTAAGGCACTATTTTACATTCATTGGACATACATCATAAGTTAATGCATATTATATTTCCCCTAGGTCTATTACCTCTTTTTCTTGGCAGAATTAAATACTGTGTATATTTTATTTAATGCGGAAATGTCTGTCCGAAGCACAATCATTCTCACAATAGTCAATATAATTAAATGAATGCTTTCCCCTCTGTTAAGAGTTGTAATTATCAAAGCAGCAAACAAGGCCCAATGCTATTCTCACATCACCCGCTTCCAGAAAATAAAATTTCCCCATGTAACCAAGATATCTTAAGGGATGCAAATCTATGGAAGAAGCAGTGGAAGAGATGGTATTTTTTTTTTTAGAATAACTTAAGTTAGCAAACGTCCCTTTGTGGAAATCGTATAATATAAATCCTTTTTTTAAAAAACTCGCCCCTACAGATTTGGACTGAAGGTGGAGCCTCGGGGATTTTGGGCGGGGCCACTCCGGATCTGCGTGGCTCTCCCGCACCGCGCACGGCCTCTCTGGACTCGGTTCGGCTCCGCTCGGCTCCGCTCGGCTCCGCTCGGCTCCGCTCGGCTCCGCTCGGCTCCGCTCGGGGAGGAAGAGCGGGCCGGGTTTGGCGCAGGCGCTCTCGGCTCCCGATGCATAAAGGACCTGCTCTGCCTCCCGCTTCTACTTCCTTGTCTTCCGAGCTGTATCCGGGTCGTTGCTTTCCCTATTGTCTCAGGCAGTCGGGTCTCGGATTGTGCAAATTCTGGGTCTTTTGTTGCTTCTGGTGCAGGCTAATAAAGTTTTTCTTTCTTTCTTTCTTTTTTTCTTTTTTTTCTTTTTTCCTAACGGTTTTAACGAGGGAGCTCGCTCCGCAGGGCTGCCAGGTTGGCGGCGCTGCCTGGACCGGAGGGCGCCCGCGCCCGGGGAGCGAGCGCCTGGGGCCGGTTCTGCGAGGACGGAGGGGCGGGCCAGGGGGTGGGGTGCGGGCAGGGACCGCGGGGCTGCACCGGGGACGCCCCATCCGCCCGGCGGCACCGCCGATTTTTAAATAGCATCTTCCGACTGGTTCCCGCGGTCTCAGCGCCCGACCTCGGCGCTGCCTGGGCTCTCGCAGCCTCTCGCTAGGTCTCCCAACGACCGCCTCACGGATTCCTTAGTAAGTGTCGGAGGCCTCCGCGGGGAGCGAGGTCCCTGTCAGCCCGTGTAGGTCGGAGTCAGAGCCGGTGGGACCGCAGGGCGGGGGTGGGTGGGGTGGAAGCCTCCCCGTCGCGATCCGCGGGAACGATCGTGACTTCTTTTTATTCCCCGGGCCTTGCGTGTTCTTTCTGTGCACTGTCACGGTGTCCAAATGAGGGATTGGGACCCACTCGCAGAAACATCCCAAGCTGTGCAAGAGGGTCAGCTTCAGTGCCTCCTGCCAGCCTGGGTTCGCCTTCGCCGACCGGTGGCTGGAGCTGCCCACTTTACTTCCCGGCCCTCCCCAGCCCGCGTTCCCACCCCAACCTGCCCCGACACCTTCTGCCCAGAACGGAGTCCAATAAAGATCCGGAGCAGGAGGTCTTCTGCACCTTCCCTCAGCACCACCGCTCTCCCCTGTGCTTCGTGTGGTTTTTGAATGACGCTGTAATTTTTTCTTTCTTTCTTTCTTAACAGTGGATCGCAGCTCCAAGAGGAGGCAGGTGAAGCCTTTGGCAGCTTCTCTGCTAGAAGCTCTCGATTATGATAGTTCAGATGACAGTGATTTTAAAGTTGGAGATGCTTCAGGTAAATGTTTCTCCCCTTTCCCAGCTTTCTGAAGTTGGGTTTATTTTCGGCTTCTTCTTCTTCTTCTTCTTCTTCTTCTTCTTCTTTCTTCTTTCTTCTTTCTTCTTTCTTCTTTCTTCCTTCTTCCTTCTTCTTTCTTCTTTCTTCTTTCTTCTTCTTTCTTCTTCTTTAGAATTGGTTTTGATGACAATGCCAATTTAAAGTTAAAGCACATAAACTTCATTTATGTTGTACATTTGATTCCCCACATTTCTCTTAAGATCCTATCACGAGGTCCTATCATTGTGTCCGTTTCTGTTGATACTTAGATAATGAACCTGCCAAAGGATTTTTTTTACAAAGATGCAAAAAACATTTTCTCTATTCTTTACTTGAAAATATATTTATGCTTATTTTATGGATATAGGGGGAAAATGAGAGAGATTACGAGGTAGAGTCATATCTTTTTTTTTTTTTACAACTGAGTTTTTTTTTCAATATATATTTTATTGATTTTTTACAGAGGAGAGGGGGATAGAGAGCTAGAAACATCAACAAGCTGCCTCTTGCACACCCCCTTCCGGGGATGTGCCAGCAACCAATGTACATCCCCTTGACCAGAATCGAACCTGGGACCTTTCAGTCCGCAGGCAGACGCTCCACCCACTGAGCCAAACCGGTTTCGGCAAGAGTCATGTCTTAAGAGTAATGTAAGTCATGAACTGTTCATGAGTAGGGTTCTTCTCTTGTCAAAACATTTGGCGCACCCTCTGAGGGGAGTTTTACTAAAGCCGACCAGAGGGGGGAAAAAAAATTGTGTTTCATAGTAGCCACTGGACCTTGTGGTTTAGGCCTTTCAAAAATCTCTGAGATATAAAGCATGCATGCTTGCTCTATGGTTTGTGATTTTTAGAAAACAAACTTTTTAAAAAGGTCATATATTCACATTGTACAAAATTGGAAACCATAGAAAGAAGAGTATGGTTTACGTTGTTTCTTCAGTTCATTGTAGCTCATGTAAAGATACATCTAAAATTTTATTTGTAGGAATCTGAGAAATGGACAAATTATGTTTCAATATGTGAAAAATACCAAGACAATACCAAACATTACTTATTATTCTGCCCCCTTTGAGTGGAAATTTAAAGAAAGTGAGAAGTGAAAGCCCTTATGGTTTCATCCTTTTTAACAGGTTTTAAAAATACTTTGAAGATTTATTTATTGATTTGAGAAAGGGTGGGAGAGAGAGAGAGAGACATCGATTTGTTGTTTTACCTATTTATGCATCTGTTGGTTGCTTCTTGTATGTGCCCTGACCAGAGATGGAACCTGAAAACAACTGAATTACCCTGCCAGGGCGCATTCCTCTAACAAATTTTAAGTATTCTTCCATAGAATTTCCTATGTTTAGTCTTTCTCCCCTTTCTGGTTTTTTTTTTTTTTTTTTTTTTTTTTTTTTTTCCTGCTAAGGATGATAAGGAAAGGATGAAGTTAGGTTATGTTATTGGTATTACTTTTAATAGCATCAACAATCAGAAATCACTTGTGATTTACTGAGAACTTTCCTTTCCATAATCCCATTTAATGTTTAAAGTAATTTAGGAGAGGAGATATTTTCTGATGATAGGGGAACTGAATTTAAAGAACTTGCATGAGGTCACTCAGGCCATAATGGATTCTCATCCATGTCTTTTGATTCCAAAATTGACAGTCTTTTTCTCTGCTTAGATATTAAACAGAGATAGGATATAATCTTAAACCAAAACTACTTGGATGTTGTGGTGACTAATTCAGGTCACTCCCAGTAATCAAAAGTTGTTAAATTTATCTTGATTTTTGTTTTGTTTGTTTTATGACCTTTTCAGCTCTTTTACCTTCCATTTAGTTGATTCACTGATGCTTGGTACTTCCAAAGAAAGGAAAGAAAAGGAAGGGCAAGGGGGTAAAATCCAAATCTACTTTGGTTCTCTTGGTGAAATGTTGGCAGATAGGATATTCTTGACTAGAATGTTATTTTGATTTGTTATAGTTCAGATTGTAAACTGTGATGAAAAGAGTTGGGTCTCAGAGATTATTACTTATTTGAATACCATTCTGGGAAAAACTCCAAAACTTAATTTCTTTAAATATTCCATAATTATTTTTTGGCAATAAATTCTGATTTTGTAATTTTTTTCTTTTTGCTTATTAAGTTGTAGTCATTCACAGGTATCACTTCTCTTTTATAACATTTAAAACAATTTTTTTATTTTTTATTTTATTTTTAAATATATTTTATTGATTTTTTGCAGAGAGGAAGAGAGAGGGATAGAGTTAGAAACATCGATAAGAGAGGATCATCAATCAGCTGAGAGGATCATCAATCAGCTGCCTCTTGCACACCCCCTACTAGGGATGTGCCCACAACCAAGATACATGCCCTTGACCGGAATCGAACCTGGGACCTTTGAGTCTGCAAGCCAACGCTCTATCCACTGAGCCAAACCAGTTTCGGCTATAACATTTAAAACAATGGCACAAACTACTTTCTCAAAATATTTTATGGTATCACGCTACGTAGAGATTCCTGATCTTGTTAAATTTTAAACAGAGTTAATGGGAATTATCTGTTTGTAGTAAGTGGTAGGATGAGTTTTATTAGCTGATAATTAAAAAAAATTCTAAGAGCACTAAAAACCTGTATACTTTCTGTTCCCTTTTGTCATAATACCCTGTTTCCCTGAAAATAAGACAGTGTCTTATATTAATTTTTGCTCCCAAAGATGCACTACTTTCAGGGGATGTCTTATTTTTTCATGAAGAAGAATATGGTACACATTTATTAAATGAAAATAAAGGAAATTTATTACCTGTATACGATACGGTAGTACAGTAGTTGTCAACACAAACCTGACAAACTGTGAATTCTACAGTATCAAGAATTTACTCATTTATTCAATGACAATCATGTCATCATCTTCTGGAACATCATCATAACAATTCAATTCCTGAATTTCCTGGTGAATTTCTTGTGACTCCATTTCTTTCAGAATCAGTGGACCAAATCTCTCATGTTTAGCAATAGCACTGTCTTTAAATGAGTACTTCTTGTCAAGGTAGCCTGCTCTCAGTGCATTTGCAATGCAACTATCAGTGATTTTCTCCCATGAATTCTTCACCCAAGTCACAACTTCTTGCAGTTTAGGTTTCACAAAGTTTCCACACTGATTTCTCTCCATTCTGTTTTCAATGTCATCATTAATTTCCATGCGCAAATTGTCTTTGAATGGCTTGTTTATTGCAATATCAAGAGTCTGGAGATAGGCCTTCATTCTTGCGGGAATCATTATCTGATCTATTTTTCTTTTGTGAAGAAATGTCTTCATGTCTTCAGCGTGGTGAGTGCTGGCTTCATCCCAGACTAGCAGACCTCTTTGGCTCCCTCGCATAACAAGGGGCAGCATTAAATCGACCCACTTCCTTATAACTGCTTGTGTGGCCCAGGCTTTTTCAGTTTCAAGAATAAAAACGCCCAAAACACGTTCAATCTTTTCCTTCTTGCCCTTAGAAATGATTAAAGGTGGGATTTTAGTGCCATCTAGGTGAATTGCCAAAATACAGAAAACACGTGCACTTTAATAAGCAGTGGAGGGAATGTACACTAAGGAGGCACCCCGCTGTTCAATTGTTGTTTGAGGTGATTGGCCCATAATCACTGCAGTTTCATCCATAGCAATCATGTTGGAAAGATTGTATTTAGAGAAGTCAGAGCCTGGGGGAAGGGGGGGCTTATTTTCGGGGGAATGCCTTATATTTCACTCAGAAGGAAACCTGTAAGTAGGTCTTATTTTCGGAGGATGTTTTATTTTCGGGGAAACACGGTACCTACTTTTTTAACCTCTGGGGAGATTAAATTGTGACCCAAAGTCAACATTTATCTGTGTAGTTCTTGATGTTATTGTGAATTAGAGTTAGATTGATTTTCTTTAAAATAGTTCATAGTCAGTAGAAATTGAATGATATTTTCTGCTTTTGGATTATGTGCATTGGTGTCTCCCGTGGCTGAGATGTGGGCTTATTCTAGATTACCAGTGATTCCTATTTGCTTCTTTTCTCTTCTCTGTCTGAGATAGTTGAACTCTTACAGGAACTAAGACATTAAACTTACCACTGTTTTTTAAACATTGTGACGTTGTGGAATCCCAACCCTACCTATGAATAGATTAAACTGAAAGTGGAGAAACAAAAACTATTTCTTTCAAAACAATTTCTAGACATGACTCCTGACTTTCTTAGAACTTAATGTTAAAATGCTTAGATAGATTGGCTTCAATTTTTATCTGATTCTCTGCATCAGTTTCTTCTGATCTTCATTTTGAAATCTGAATTCTGACTACAAAACTTCATATTTCTGTTTGACTTTAAGAATAAATATCGAAAATTCTATAGACAAAGGTTATTATATTTAAGACTCCTGCAGATAAACATAATTTTATTCATGTGTTTCTCAGATGATAAAATCTAAAAAGATAAATATTGTTAAAAAATTGTCTGACAGTGATTATTAACAATAATTATAAGCCTCTTCCATTCAAAATAGTGAACTGAATATAAATTACCTTTTGTCCTAAAGGTGAAAATAGAGCTAAATTTTTCACTTGTTTTTGCTTTAAAAAAAATTATTTTATTTCTTTCTCTATTTTTTAAAATATATTTTTATTGATTTTAGAGTGGAAGGGAGAGAAAGAGAGTGATAGAAACATCAATGATGAGAGAGAATCATTGATCAGCTGCCTCCTGCATGCCCCTTACTGGGGATCAAGCCAGAAACCCAGGCATGTGCCCTTGGCTGGAAACAAACCTGGGACCCTTCAGTCTGCTCTATCCACTGAGCAAAACTGGCTAGGACTCTTATCTATTTTTTAATCTTTATTGCCGAGTGTATTACAAATGCACTCCCTTTTCTTCCCCTTTGCCCTATCAACCTGGCCCTCCCCGCCCCCCAGGCTTTTACCCTTTCCAGGTGTTCATGGGTAGTGAATATATACATATAAATTCTTTGGTTAATCTCTCCCCGACACCCCACACCTAAATTTTTCACTTTTGATTGAGAGCCAATAAATAAATTTTAAAATTAGTAAATCCTAAAATGGGATGTAAGTGTATTATAATTATGGTGATACCACCAGAAAAACCATATGTAGAAATGTTAGGTAAAGCTATATAAAATGACTAGTTTTATAGGAATAAAACTGTCAAATATGATCAATTTCATGTTTTGGCCTAGTTAAAGTGGTCATATTTGACACTTGGACCTAAGATTAGGGCTAGGATAGAGTCATTGAGTAATCTGCTATATAAATGAAATATTTTTGAAGAAAAGTATATGCATTACCTTTGTTAAATAAGACAATAAACCAATGCCGTGTCCCTAACCTTCTGGCCAAAGTAAGAAGGTTAGTTTATATTGTGTCATAGCTTAGTTAGGTGAAATTGAGAGTAATTCAGCTGCAAGAGTTAGGCTGGGGCTTTGGTTTAGTAATAGCTTGTGCTTAATTTGACGTTAGCTTTAAGTGGATCAAAATATGTTCATTGATCACCTATAGTTTTGTTTCAAAGCACTTTTCTGGATGTTATGGTGAATTTTACTAAGCAATAGCGATAATATCAGAATAATTAGATAAAATGATGAATAGGTGATACAAAGCGTGCTTGATTACTTATGCAGTTTAAGTCATTCCAAGGATACAGGACTACTATAGAGGGATTGATCTAGGAGAAGGCATTGAGATAAGGATTAAATTAGAAACTGAAATCTAGATGGAGAAACATTAAGTGTTAGAAGCGTAGAGGTTGGAAAATGTTGATTAATCCTGGATTGTGACTGAATAAGAGAATAGAAGAGGTGAGCCTGGGAAAGTAGAATGAGGTCACATTGATGCCTTGTATGCTAGACCAGGGTTTCTTAAACTCAGCACTATGGACATCTTATGTTGAATAATTCTTCGTTGTGGAGGCCTGTCCTGTGTATTATGGTATGCATCCCTGTCTTCTGCTTAAATGCTAGTAGCATCTTTCCTACCTACCACCCCCTTCCCCTGAACCTTCCATGGCCACCATTCTCTCTAGACACCGCCAGGGACCATATTGTCACAGCTAGAAATAGAGGGTGAGTTGTGTTGACTGATTGGCTTTTTCAAAAATGCTTTACTGGATTTGTCAAAATGGTCACAAGATGATAACAATAACCAGTAGACTGGTGATCTGTTGTCTGATGTGTATATTTATAATATTGTACTAATCACTGTTGGACTGCATCAATGAACAGAATAAATACTTAGATTTGATGCACAAAGATGATTCTTTATATTGTAAAGCTAACATAAAATTCTGATTTAAATCATACTGTTTTATTTTTGGTTTTATTGTTTGATATTTATCTTGGGGAAAACTTAAGCATTGAAAATTGTGAAGGGATTCTTGAAGAATTTTTTAAAAAAATTCTGTAACTGCAAAAAATATGTCTATAAGTTGAAATAGCAATTAATTGGAGAGATGTTGATAGAGTATGTTTGAGAAAGGTTACTCTTTGTTTAACTGAGTAGGGAGTATGGATTTCAATTTTAAAACTTTTTTCTAGTGTAAAATTTTTATTATAGAGTTAGAATTATCTGGTTCGTATGCCTAAGATTAGCTGTATTTGAAGTATTTGGATTATTTCTCTAGTCTGTTCTGTTTTTCTTTGAAGAGTGTAAGAGTGATAGATTTGGAATATAGCAGAGAATCTTTATTTGAATTCATAGTAACATGAAATATTTCTTTGCAGACTAAAAAAATAGAAGCAGCCAAGAACTCTGATTTTGTCATTCTCATTATTGCCAAACTATACTGTAACTAAATATTTTTTATCTCCATCCCTCAAGTACATATGTACCAAAAAGAAGTGATGACTAATCAGATGAAGATGTTATTTTTCAGAGATCAAAGAAAAATAAAATTTGATATATTCCTGATGGCTGCAGTTGGAGTATGGCTAATATGTTATATTCGGAGAATGATGGGTTGGGTAAGCTATTAGGATTTGTATTTGTGGAAAAAACTCACATTTAAATGTAAAGCATTTAAGTTTTTCAAAATTGCTTTCTATTCAGGTGTGATTATGGAATAAAATCAGAACCAAAGTATCACTTTCCCTCTACTTTGAAAAACAATTAATTGATTGGTATTGGCAACAACAACCAAACCAAAATTATAAACATTCTTTATGTTTTGTAAAATTTACTAAATTCAAAGTTAAATTCCTCTCATTTTGATGAGATACCCACTTTGTGCCTCAGATAATCTTACATTTGAATCTATTGTTATTTTATTTATTTATTAAAATATTTTTATTTATTTCAGAGAGGATGGGAGCAAGAGAGATAGAAACATCAATGATGAGAGAGAATCACTCAGTGATCAGCTGCCTCCTTCATGCAGCACACTGGGGATTGAGCCCACAATCTGAGCATGTGCCTGACCAGGAATCAAACTGTGACCTGGATCACAGGTCGATGCTCAACCACTGAGCCACACCGGTTGGGATCTATTGTTATTTTTCATTGGTAAAAATAAGGAATGCTTTCTAAGTATTTCTAAAATGGCTTCTAAAAGATTAACCCAAGGGAAAGTACCTTTTGTCCACCTGCTAGCTCTAGCTTGCTTGCAAGATGTTCCAATTTTCTTTAGTCAGTCTGCATAGAGATTCTTTTTTGCCAGAGGTTTTTTTGTTTGTTTTGTTTTGTTTTTGTTTTGTAAGTTGGGTTTAATTGAGTGGTCTAAAAAAAGTATATTTTCTTAATGATTTGTAGAGCTACTGGACTGAAAGAAGTCCCCTTTTTGTGAGTGAAAATTGGGTCCACACACTTTTTTGAAATCTGAGGAGCTGTTTCCTAAGTTTAACACAAACTGTTTGATGGTAAAACCTGATTGGTACTGGTAGATTATTTGTAGTATATATATTTATCAAAATCATAACTATTCATACATTTTATTGCAAAATTATGTGTTTGACTATAGGGCAGGTGCTAGTGTGATATATTGTGCATGTACTGCGCTACCCCTTCTAAAATCTAAAAAACAAAGTCTAATTTCTGAAACATCTGTCTCCAAAAATCTCAGACAAGGGATTGTTAACCTACATGATTTTATGTCCCATGTAAGAATTTTTAGGATGAGAGTGTTTTTTCACAACAGTCCTGACTAAGCTGTGAGTACTTGCAGGATAACCTAGGGACTGACAATGATTTTATAAAGTCAGTCAACATCTGCTAAATGTTAGTTTGTTTGTTTTTTAAAATGTGATTTAATTAGCATGATTTAAATTGTACAAAACTATTTGAAAAGCATTTTGAGCTATTGTAGATACTAGATACTTATTATATTATAGACAATTTCTTTACATCTAATGCCCAATTAATTAATTATAGAGGCTGAGGCTGGTGGAGTTAGCAGAAATTAAAATGATGTAGAAACATAAGCTTTTTCATAATGTATTATTATCCTTTTCTTGGTTATAGGTGCAAAATATTCATCACCCTACAGGTGTTACTGTTGCTGGCTATGATCTAACTATGACTGCTTTGTTTCCCACTTCCTTTTTTCCCCTCCCTGTGTCCCTTTCTATAGATATTTTAAGTTTTATTTCATCAGGCATAAAAAGGATTAGAAGGTTGGCTTAAGAGTGCCTGGACTGTGCTAAGCAGGAACAGAAGAAACTTGCTAGAAGCCTTATAGTTCTTTGTGAACTGCCAGGACATTTGATGTCCAAAAGGACATTTGATGTCCTTTGCCTATCTTTTTAGTGACTACTGTGGTTGCTCATTTCCAAGATGGCTTAGTTTTTAAAAAAATTATTCATTCTAAGAGATATAGCAGTTACTGCCTAGAATTTTTGAAAGTTTAGGTGATTCTTTTATTGATATCCTAATAAGCAGGAAAATTGATAACCTCTCTTGCAACTTCCATTTTCTGTGCCATTACTATTGTCTCTTCTCATCTACTGTATGTACGTGGTGCTCCTAAACTTGATGGCTGTAGTAGGAATGTGGTACAAGTTGACTACCATAAATATCTATGCTTAATTTTGCTGGGTAAAGCATGAAACAATGAAACAAAGTTCTTTTGGGCCAGGATTTTCTTGTTCTGAATGTGACTCAATGTTTATAAGTCCATATAGTTTATGAAAGGAGGATTTAAGGGGAGAAGACTATGATGCATATTCTATTATCATTAAAGTTAAAACCACGTGCCCAATTTATAAAGAATGACATTTACTTTTAGAAAAAATTGCCTTTAGGGTGCCAAATAAAGCATGTGCTATATGACAAAACAATGCTCCTCTTTTTAAAGCATATCTTAATTTAGAGTTACATATATTCATCTTCATTAATGCTATATTGAACTAAAACCATTACACCAACTTCATTGATTTATTATTTAATCAGGTTAGTAATGTCTACCATCATTTGACTTAAATTTGTTTATATTGTTTTACAAGTTACTCACAGATTTTGGTGGTTTCATTTGTGTCAGCGTTGTGTGTGTGTGTGTGTGTGTGTATGTATATACATATGTGTGGTTTTTTTTTTCTCATATTTTCAACAGATTCTGAAGGGAGTGGTAATGGAAGTGAAGACCCCTCAAAGGACAGTGGAGAAGGTTCCTGTAGTGATTCCGAAGAAAATATTTTAGAGGAAGAACTAAATGAAGATATTAAAGTAAAAGAAGAACCACTTAAAACTTCTGCAGAGGAGGAAATACTGCCATCAGAAAAACAGTTAATTAAAATAGAAAAGAAGGAAGAAGAAAATGGAGAAAGACCTAAAAAGAAAAAGGACAAAGAGAAGGAAAAAGAGAAGGAGAAAGAAAAAGAGAAGGAGAGAGAGAGGGAGAAAGAAAAAGCAACAGTATCTGATAATGTGGCTGCTTCTGCTGCTGCCACCTCACCAGCCACAAGTCCTCCTGCTGTCAACGCATCTCCTTCAGTCCCTACTACAACTAGTACGGAGGAACAAGTCAGTGAGCCAAAAAAGTGGAACCTTCGTCGAAATCGACCGCTTTTGGATTTTGTATCCATGGAAGAATTGAATGACATGGATGACTATGACAGTGAAGATGACAATGATTGGCGACCTACTGCAGTAAAGAGAAAGGGAAGATCTGCATCTCAGAAAGAAGGAAGTGATGGAGACAATGAGGATGATGAAGATGAGGGGAGTGGAAGTGATGAGGATGACAATGATGAAGGCAATGAAGAAGATCATAGCAGCCCTGCCAGTGAAGTGGTTTGCAAGAAGAAGAAGAGTAAAGTTCTTAGCAGAAACAGTGCTGATGATGAGGAACTGACCAATGATAGCCTGACACTATCTCAAAGCAAGAGTAATGAGGTAGATCAACCCAATTTTTATGGTATCTGTCTGTTTGGGGAGAGGGAATTCTCTAAACCAGTATACTCCTTATATTAAGTGGCTTCCTTGAAATCCTATTTATAGACAGTTGTAGGAGTGAATGAACTCCCTATATATAGCATTTTTTTCATTTGGCCAACCAATCTTTATTGAGTAACTGCTCTGTGTCACCGTTCTCAAGGAGCTTACAATCATCGTCCTCAAGAGCTCACAGTCTCTATGTAGAGGAATATTTTTATATCCATAGACTTGGGAAGTGGTAGGGATTTTCTTCCAGCTTTCTATCCTCTCACCCCATTGTTCATAGGACTACTAAATTGTGCTAGTTGGATTATGAGAAAGGTCACCTTTCTTTAAACTTAGTTATATTCAGATCTACATAAAAGTTTAGGCTTTTAGAATACTTCAGCAGGGCAACACAGCTTAACGATTGCCTCAGACTTTTAGAGATTCATTTTCAAGATTAATTCCTTTACCAGTTGTAGCACTATCATTTGAATGGTCACCAAATCTTTGTTTTAGATGTATGGAAGTAAAACTAAACTATATGTTTATATGTATTTAGAGAATAAATTCTCTCTACAAAGAAATGAAAACAAACGTTTTTATCATAAAACTACAGTAATGATTCAGTTCTACCACTTGAAGTTCAACTGAAAGTTAGGTTTATATCCATTGGGCCCAAGATGCAACATTCAAGACTCTTCAGTCAAATACATTTGTGTCTTTTTGTCTGTGTGTTTATGTACATGTTTTTCCTCAAAAGAAAGATTGAGTTGTCTTTTCACATGTAGATGTATTTGTTACATCACATGTAGAACTAGAATAGTTAAGTCTGTCATTTTGTTAGTGTGCTTATAGTCTTGAAAATTCACTTCATTCACTTTATCAAGCACTTATTTTTTGTTGTTTTTTCATACCATTGACAGGTTAAACTGGTAGAATATTTTTCCTTTTATGCTTTATTTGTTCTTTTACATTTCTTTTGCTTACAAATTTTACATACCAGTGATTTTCCATCCTAACTTAAGTATCATTTATAATTTTGGTGATTTTATTAACCAAATAATATAGAGTAGTTGATAAGGGCTATGTGTCAGTAGAGGTGAAACAAAGTTTATATTTTAGATTATAAACATTTTTTAACTTCCAGTGTGCCCACTTTCATAGGAAGATGTTGCTTACCTCAAGTGCTATCTTAATTCTTTAGTAAAGAAAAATTGTCATTTGGAGTATAATACTGTATAATCTTGTAGCACAGGCAATTCCATATTTTCAATGCCAATTTATGGGGATAGAAGTATGGAAAATCCAATTATTCATATTTGTTTTTTAGGTACATATCCTGTTTATTTTATATCACTTAGTATTCCATCTGTATTTACTAAATAAGTTTGCTTTTGGCAGCATCACTTCCTTCATTTTTATTGGCCTGACATTCACAAAAGTAGGCTGGCTGATGATAGAGGCAGTGTGGAGATACCATATGTTTAGAAATTTGCCACATTATCAATTTGTTAAATATCTGTAATAAATAATATATTGCTTAAGAGGTTGTAGGCTATTTTTAGGATGCATTTAAAGGCCACATGCACTGTTTTTTTCTTACCCAGAAAACTTGAGTAAATAATTTACATATTTAGATGAATAGTTCCAAAGAAATGAGATTCCAGAACATTTTTTGGAAAAGTGCCTTGTTTTTCTGAAGTAAATAAATTAATTCCTCTTCTATTGTTTTATGTTAATTTTCCCTTTGCTCTGCCCTATGCAGAAATGTAGAACTTATAAAAAGTTAATTTCTCCTCAATAATATTCTATCTGAAAACTTGATAACTTTTTCCCAAGACTATTACTCAAATTAGATATTAAATTTTAATAAATAAGAATCGAGATTATTATTTTATCCTATGCTTCTAAATCCTATTTATATTATTTTGCTTTTGTAAAAAGGTGACTAAAGGTAATCCTTGTTGCCTTATGGCCAATGTTTGTATCTTCCTGGCTATTGTAGGTAGTTAGTTATATCTTGCCAAGTAGGCATTAGTTAATCTATACAAATAAAAGGGTAATATGTAAATTAGTCATGACACCCTCACAGTAACAACTGAGTGGAAGGCTGCTTGGGGTGACCAGGCCAGCAGAGGGGGGCTGTTGACTAGGCCAGCGGGGAAGAGGGCAGTTAGGGGTGATGATCAGGCTGGCAGTCAGAGGCGGTTAGGAGTGATCAGGAAGGCAGTCAGGTGAGCAGTTAGGAGCCAGCGGTTCCAGATTGTGAGAGGGATGTCTGACTGCCAGATCCCAAGGATTGGGCTGAAATTGGCCGTGGGATATCCCCAAAGTGGTCACGGATTGGAAAGGATACAGATTGGGCTGGGGGGAAACTGGGCCTCTAGTAAGTATGTATTTGGTTATAGTTGATGTTTTATTTTTCTCTGCTTTTACTTTAAGTTTTCAAATACTACTTGGTAGTAGAGATAGCTAAAATGTGGCTTTAGAAATGCCTAACAGAATTATATTTAATTTATAAGCATATTGAATTTTTTTCTTGGATTTATGTCAAGTGCTTTGTAGGGAAAGATGTTGTATGTCATGTAAATGATACCCGGGAACTTTAATAATTTTGACATTTCTTTGAACAGGGAACTTTTATAACTATTGGCTGTTAATGGCCTGAACATATCTATATATGCTAGGGGAGCGGTTCTCAAACATTTTGAAATACTCTAGAGCAGTGGGTTTCAAACATTTTTGTCTCATGACCACTTTACACTCTTAAAAAAAATTAATTGAGGATACCAGTTTTTATTTATGTAGTTATATGTAGATGTTAACAGAAGAACATAAGTTGTCAGATCTATAATGCCATCCCCTATCATGTAGCTTGTGAAAATTTTTTACCTTTGCACCCATGATAGAGAGTGAAAAAGGCACATAACCTTGGTATTATCATGAAAATAGCCTTTACCTTGTGGACCTCCCTAAAGGAGAGTTCCTACACCACATTTTGAGAACCACTGTTGTAGAATTGGGCATTTTCTGCAAAGAGGCACTTGCCTTTGTTACTGGTATTATGGCATTTTGGAATTTGGTGCTATTTGAACAATCCCTGCAGAATATGGTTTTGTCTTTTCAAACGTTATCTTGAAGCTTTGAGATTTACTAAGGTTATCTTGTCTTTTAGTTTTCTAAAGTATACTTTTGGGGGAGGGCTGTGTAGTCTTTTCAGAGCCTGGTTTCTATTTTTAGGACTTTAAGACTAGAGCTTTGGGTAAATATATGACAGAAAATTATATCAATAGAAATTTTCAGATGGAAGTTACTCTTTTTGTTTTAAAATACTCATGTTAAATGGATGTTAGTGTCTTGCCATGTGAGTTATTATCTGATTTGCTAATTAAAATGTAAAAGTTTTGCTGCAGTTTATAAATAGCCACTATGTTTAGGGCTCTTTAGTTATTAATCAATTGCCTTTGTACACATTTCAAAATAAAACAAATTTCTCCAAGGCCTAAAAATTCAATTTATAACACTGTACTAAAGTACTTCAGATTCTTAAGAATTTAACCTTCTTTAAAAACACAGAGGAAGAACTATTGGTCAAACTTTTTGGTATTCCCCGAAAATAAGACATCCTTCGAAAATAAGACCTAGTGCATGGAAAGATAAGACATCCCCTGAAAATAAGACCTAGCGCAACTTTCGGAGAAAAAATTAATATAAGACACTCTTATTTTTGGGGAAACGGTATTTTTTTTCTCTTTTTCAAGGCAATAGATTCCTTAAATTCTGTTTTACATGTAGTGTGCTGGAATTTCCATCTATTAAAAATACATATAACTTAGAATTTACCATTTTTATATATTGTTAATAATCATCTATGTGGAATATACACATAAATGAACACTAAACGTATTTTAGAGCCACAAGACCATTGGGAAATATTAACATTTTTTGGAATAAATTTTAAATCTCAAGGGGAAAATGAAATGATTTACTGTAATGTCCCATTTATTCTTAAAGTTACCATTAGAATCCTTTAAATTATTCTATAATATTAAAGTTATACTCTAGGTGATATTCTTGTGGTACTCAAAACAACCTTTCCAACTTCTATTTTCATGTAAAAATTGTATTTTCAAATGATATATTTTGTGGTGAAAACTCGAGCTTAACTATTTTGTCCCAAAACTTAAAAGATGATATACATCTTTATTTTAGAAATATGCTGATAAAAATTGATATTAAATTGGCTTTAATATTCTGATTATAAGTGTGCTTAAACCCATGTTTTCTATATTAAGGACAACTTGGAGCATAATTTTTATGAGACTGTTACTCAGATTTTTCCATTGAAGTATTGCCTGCCATCGACCATTGGATTTGGTAGTATTATCTTAGGGTGCTAATTCCCCCTATTTTTCTCTCATTTTTTCATTACATTGCTAGTAAGACTTTTTATGGATGGGGAACAGAGTGCCAGAGATACCAATTAACTTTGTTATATCTGGCCTAAACGATAATATATATAGAGAGAAATTGGTGCAGAGATATAAATTAGCCAGTTACTGTTTTCCTAAGCAAAATAGAAAAATAGGAAGGTAATGGAATTAGAACTACCTGTTGATATTAATTTTTCTGATCCATAGAAATTTACTTATTTCCTATAGAAATTTACTTGAAAAGGATAAATCTTTTTCAAGGCCTGATTAATTATAATTCCATGAGAGAAATATTGTCACAGCCCATAAACTTGAGTATCCTTTCAGATATCAAACTGGTTGTTAGGTCTTTTCTTAGTCTGTGATTTTTAAAACCTAGTTGTGGTATTCTAAGAAAAAAGTTTTTTGAAATTGACGCAGAGAAGAAAGTATTTTTGGACTTACTCATGGGAGAATATCTTATATAATAAAAACCTACTATGCTAAGTATCTGGTTGTCCAGTCGTCCGTTCAACCAATCAAAACATAATATGCTGATAATATGCTAAGGCTGCTCAACCGCTCGCTATGATGTGCACTGAACACCATGGGGCAGACAGTCGATTGGTCGACCAGTCACTATGATGTACATTGACCACCAGGGAGCAGACGCTTCAACCGGTAGGTTAGCTTGCTGCTGGGGTCCAGCCAATTGGGACTGAGTGAGAGAGGCCGGACACGCCCTGGAGCCCTCCCGTAGTCCCTCCCCGCTGGCCAAGCTCCTGCATCCCTTCCTGGTCCCCATTGTACACCGGCAGGGTCCCTCAGCTTTGCCTGTGCCCTTTTGCAGTCCAGGCTGAGGGACCACCCCACCCCACTGAGTGCATGAATTTTGTGCACAAGGCCTCTAGTATATATATAGAATCTTATAACTTTTCCCCTGTGTAATAATAGGTCATCTCAATGTTTCTCTTTTGGCCCACCTACAAGAAATACAGGGGAAAGAAAAATGGGGATTAATGAACATTTATTGAGTACCTAGTATGTCTTGGGAACATTTTAACATACATTATGTTATTAATTCTCACAACATCCTCATGAGGTAGGTATTATTTTTATCATCCTATTTTACAGGTGAGAAAACTGCAGCTTCAGGTTCAACAGCTATTGAACAAGAGATGAAAGTGAAACCAAACAACATTTGACTCTAAGTCAAATGCTGTTATATTTAAAGCATGGCTAATAGGATGGAATCTGGGCATATTTTTATTTTGCTCACTGTACCAAAGCACCGTAAAACATGTTTTCTTTTTCGGAAGGTTTTGGCTGTACTTGCTTGCCATGTCCAAAGCCCCTAAGCCACTTTGCTTTTATAACAAAAATAATAAAAATATAAACTTGTAAAGTACTAGAATTCTCAGATAAGGCATACCTTTTTTGGCACTATTTTCTTGATTTGTTTACATATCTATTGCAAGTTTACATGTATTACACAGAAATATATTGAAAGATTATTATAAATTGTGACATTCAAGTGTCATTCAAATGTTACAAATTCCTATTGAAATGATACCTACATGTTACCTTTCAATATTAGTTTAAAAGAATATAAAAATATTAATGGATGTAGAATATGGAAATAGTTTGTCGATTTTATTTCTTAATATGGTTAGGTTCTTCAGTGAAAATATATAGATTCAAATGCCACCTTTTATTATATAACACTTAAGCCCAATCTGTGAAATATGACAAGAATTATTATCTTGTTAACTTATCCTTTAAAGTTTAAATTCATAATGTAGAAGATTTAAATTAAAAGAAACAAACCATTTCTTGAAATTTTATCTTTTTGTATTTGTCTATTAATATCTTTCTCCTTTTACATTACAATTATCTAGGTATCTTTCTTACCAGTTTACACTAAATATTTCTTGACATAAAACTAATATGAGTGTTCTGCCTCTTCTAGCAATTAGTCAACCTGAATCTTTTTTTTAGATGGTTTTCTGTACTTGTAAATGCAGATATACCTAGGTAGGTACTCATGTATCTGTCATCCAGTAGTTGGATGAGCCTGGAGCTTCTGAATTCCCCTTATACACGTAAGGATTATATACAGGATATTCCCCTGTAACTATGCTATCACATACATAGTTGCTTACATGTTATCTTGAATTAGTTTATTCCTGTTTGATATATGTGTGTTTTGTCTTCCTAGCTAGGATTATAAGTTTCCAAAGAGTAAGAGCCTAATGTGGTATATTTTTAAAAAATATATATTTTATTTATTTATTTATTTATTTATTTATTTATTTATTTATTTTTTACAGAGAGGAAGGGAGAGGAGAAGGATACAGAGTTAGAAATATAGATCAGCTGCCTTCTACACACCCCCTACTGGGGATGTGCCCACAACCAAGGTACATGCCCTTGACTGGAATCAAACCTGGGACCCTTCAGTCTGCAGGCCAAACTGAGCCAAACCGGTTTTGGCTGTTGTATACTTTTTAAACCAATGTTTAGGATGAATAAATACTTATGGGTTAATTTTTCCTTCTTGTTTAAGGGATTAGACTATAATTCAGAATGGAAAAGCTATTGTAGATTTTGTTAGTTGCATGCTTGTTTTTTCATTTCCTAAGGAGAAAGTATATGGGACTTGAAGAGAAGTGAAAAAATAGAGGGTAGTTATAGGGTTCTTTGTCAAAGAGTTGTACTTCTCAAATGTAGCATACCCTGAAATTACTAAAAGAATGGAGAATGCAGCATAATTATGGAAATGCATAAAATAATTTAAGTGAGAATTCCATTTGTTAAAATTATCTTTTAATTTAAATATGTGATTTTCTGATATATTTTAATAACTAGGACTCGCTGATTCTTGAGAAGAGTCAAAACTGGAGTTCTCAAAAAATGGACCATATTATGATCTGCTGTGTTTGTCTTGGAGATAATAGCGAAGATGCTGATGAAATAATTCAGTGCGACAATTGTGGCATTACAGTTCATGAAGGTAATTTTGCTTTGTTTTTTTTCTCTCTCTTTTTTTTTTTTAGAAATGGCTGATTGACACTGCATTTAAAAAAGTATAATTAGTTCTTTGACATTTGTACTATTTTAAAGATTTTCCTGTATTTCATGATGATTCAATTGTTGTAAGACATACTTAAAGTATGATGGTATTATTTTTCAGGTTATGTTAACTTTAAACATGTTTTTAAAAATATTTATTACTGGAGTGAAACTGGTTAATAAGATTATGTAAGCTTCAAGTGTATAATACTATAATACATCATATATATGTTATATTATGTGCTCATCACACAAAGCTTAGTCTTTCTATCATCACATATTGGACCTTCTTTACCCCCTTCAATTTCTCACCACTCTAAATCTGTTTTTAAATAATTAAAATAGAAAAGTTACGATGTGGAAGGCACAGTATTTCTTTGATGGTCAGTGTTATATTTTTTCTTCATGGCATTTTTTATTTCTAGTTTTAAAATAAAATTCAGAAAAAGTCTAATAAGTTAGTCTACTAGAATGCATTGCAGTGTTTAAAAAGTTACATTCTAAGTCTAGCAGTTAATATGCTTTCTTCTTTCATAGTTATTTTTAACTTTAAATTTGAAAGGAAAATAAAGTATTTTTCTTAATTATAATTTTTGAAACTTCTTTGTTATATATATATTTTACTTAAAATTTTTATTTTAATGTAATTTCTGACTCAGAAAAGTTGTAATACAAAGAATTCCCATAGTTATTTCACTCATATTTTATAGATGTAATATTTTACTATACTTGTTTTATCTTCTCTCTCATATAACATTTTTTTCTAATATCAAAGGGAGTAAACTGTAGCCATATTTTTTATTTCTTAAGAAAAAGGGCGTTCTCTTTTTACATAAGCACATAATTAACAGTCAGCAAATTAGCCCTGATAAAATACTATTATCTAATGACTGTATTTACATTTTAGCAATCATCTTGATAATGTCAGCTCTAGCAAAATAAAACCCAGGATCTTGGATTGCATTCAGTTGTCTTGACTATTTAGGCACCTTTAATCTAGAACATATCCTGCGTTTTTGTGTTCCATGCCATTGGCATTTTTGAAGAATACAGGTCAATTCTTTTCTAGAATATCTTTATAATGGGTTTTTAACATTTATTTTATGTTTTCTCATGATTAGTTTCAGCTTATGTGTTTCTGGCAGGAATGTCACAATAGTTACCTTGTCTTCTCAGGGTATCATATAATGTTTTTTTGTCTAGTGGCTGGTGATGTTACTTTACTTAGTTGAGAAGTTGTCTTCTAGCTCCTGCCAGTTAAAAATTATTATTTTTTTTCTATCAGGGCCATGGTTTCGATGAAACAATATTTCTACGGCCTTGCCCTTAGCTGTCTTTCTGGTATTACAGCTATTACAGCCCTCCTCCCAGATAGTCCTGGGAGACTTCTGGGCCTGCTGGGCCTGTGGGGCCTGTGGGGCCTGGGGGGCCTGTGGGGTCTGTGCTGTTAACCCATCCTCTTGCCTTTATATGAAGCTGCCCTTTCTTGCTGCTAAGGCTCACTGTTGGAATATTTTCTCTTCCTGTTATTTATTCTTTTCTTTTTTTCCCCCCTCAGTAATGTTTGTTAAGTACCTATCATGTACCAGGCTTTCTTAGATTTTGCACATGGAAAATAAACAGGATATGAAAATTGTTGACTTCATGGAGCTTAAAGTTTGGTGAGAGAGACAAACAATGAAAGAAATAAAATAATAAATAAATCTATATTAGGTGGTGATCTGGAGGACAATAAAGCAAGACAAGGAGTGTTTGGAATGCTATGGGTGCAGAAGGTTGAGTAGACACGTGGAAGGTGGGAATCAAGGGGACAGTTTAGAGGGACTTTTTCAGTGATCCTGGAGAGGAACAGGTTTTCAGGTAGATAGTACAACTATGGTTTTTAAACTGTCTTGGTGTAGGTAAGATGTTGGGACTAGAGATATAAATTTGTGACTCATTAGCTGCAGATGTTCTTTAAAGCTGTGAGACTGGCTGTGCTTTCTAGGGTGTAGTGAAGTGGTCCTAGCACCTCAGTGGTTGGGGAACACAGGGCTGCCTAATGAGGTAGGAGAACCATCCCTGTGAAATCTGAAACTGACCCCTTCAGCTGGAGGACAGGGAGCCGCTGAAACAGGCAGATCACCGCAGATTGTAAGCTGGCGGGTTTACTAAGCCAAGGAAAATAGGAGGCTTGTCATGAGGAGCCCCAAGACTGGTAGTTTTCTGTACCTGCTGGCCAGAACCTTAAAAGTTTGCATAAAAGTCTTAACTGGGGTCAGTCACATGCCAAGTCCAGATCATCTCATCAGCACATTTTTACCTGTGTCCTTAGGCAGCTTCTAGGGCAAGGAAACACACATTCCAAATACAGGGGAGGGAGTGGGAAGCCCCCACTTGCCCAGGTCCAGTTCCTGAGTCAAACCTGTGAAAATCTTTTTTTAAGTGTTAATCCTTTGCCTGATGTATGTTACAATTATTTTCCATCTTTGAAAATATTTTTTTACACTCCGTCCTGTATTTTTTCACTTTTCGCTTGTGGTATTTTTCACTGTTTAGAATGTTCTTTTTTTTTTTTTTTTTAAATACATTTTATTGATTTTTTACAGAAAGGAAGCGAGAGGGATAGAGAGTTAGAAACATCGATGAGAGAGAATCATCGATCAGCTGCCTCTTGCACACCCCCTACTGGGGATGTGCCCGCAACCAAGGTACATGCCCTTGACTGGAACCGAACCTGGGACTTTTGGTCTGCAGGCCGACACTCTATCCACTGAGCCAAACCGGTTTCGGCTAGAATGTTCTTTTTTATACAGTCACATTTGTAGATCTTTCTCCACTAGCTTTTAAGTCCTTAAATGAATTTTCATCTAAAATTAATTAGTCCAGAGAAAGGGAAATTTTCTAAAGCACAATAGGAAGCAAGTGTTGCTAAGATTTGTTTGCTTTTTAAAAATTCAGGTGCTTAAATGACAGATTTTCATATTGTAATTCATCCATGCAACTCTCCCTTAAACATCCCATGGTTAAAAATGAACACTTGAATGAATGCTTTATTTTAGAGAGAAACAAATTACCCATCCTATATAATAAAAGCCCAATATGCAAATCAACCAAGTGGCGGAACAATCGATCACTATGATGCGCACTGACCACCAGGGGGCAAACACTCAACGCAAGAGCTGCTCCCCAAGAAGGAGGCTACAGGGAGTGACCATCAGGAGTTGGGGTGGGACTGGCCGGTGAGCAGTGCCAGGCCACCAGCCAAGACAGGTACCAGTGTGGGGGCACTGATTGCCCCACCCACCGGTTGCCCTGCAGAGGGAGGCGACCGATGATGGGGACAGGGCCGGCCAGTGAGTGATGCCCGGCTGCCAGCCATGGCGGGTGCCAGCAGGGGCCCCCCAATCGCCCTACCCACAGATAACCCCACAAATCTGCCCTGATCACCAGCCAGGACTAGGGACTCTACCCTATCTAAGAAGAGTCTCTTAGATTTAAAAATTAAAACCTGGCAAGGCTACTCTAACACTGAAAATATAGGGTGATGCAGCGATGACATGCGTGGACTCTGGCTTGCACATTTTGTGGTCAGCCCTGATTCTGACACTTATAAGTATATGACAAAGCCAATTACTTAACTTCTCTCTGCTTCAGTTTTTCCACCCATAACGGGAAAATGGTACTACTGCCTCAGAAGGATCATGTTATGAACTACTTTTTATAATCCGGGCAAAAAACGTAGTTGCCCATACAACAGCAAGATGCCTTTCACCCGTATGAAAAATATGGTCACTGGTGCTTGCAGCGTCCTGGATTGTGAGATGGATGTCTGACTGCTTGTTTAGGCCCAATACCCAGGAATGAGGCCTAAAATAGCAGTTGGACATCGCCGAGGGTACAGGATGGGCTGAGGGACCCCCCTCCCATGCAAAAATTTTGTGCACTATAATATACTAGAGGCCCATGCATGAAGTTCTGAAATTCATGCATGGCAGGGTGGGGTGGGGAGGGGTAATGGGGAGAATGAGTGTCCCTCAGCCTGGCTGGCACCCTCTGGCAGTCCAGGACCTCTAGCTCCGTCTGCTTGCTCCTTACTGCTTGGCTCACTGCTCCTTACCACCCACCTGCTCACTCCTAACTGCCTGCCTGCTTGCTCCTTACCACCTGCCTCCTCGCTCCTTACCACTTGGCTCGCAACTCCTTAGCACTATCACCGCTGTGCTCACCAGCTGTGAGCCCGGCTTCTGGCTGAGCCGTGCTCCCCCTGTGGGAGCGCACTGATCACCAGGGGGCAGCTCCTGTGTTGAGCATTTGCCCCCTGGTGGTCAATGTCTATCATAGTGACTGGTCATTCTGGTCTTTCTGCCATAATGGTTGCTTAGGCTTTTTTATATATAGATGAGCATTAAATAAATGTGGGAAATAGAGAACAGAGAGAAGAAAAAAACCATGTCTAATAGTCTTAATATCCAGACAACTGTAGTTAGTGTTTTGATGTATTTCCTTTCTCTTTCCCCCCCACATCTTTTCCTCCTCCTCCTTTTTAAAAACACTCCTAATTAATCATAATTAAGAGGGACTTTTAAGTTGAAGTTTTTGCTAAAAGATAGTACTCCAAATGTTGCTTTTAAATGTATGATTGTCTAATTAGTTTTCAGAGGACTCACTTCATCTCAGTGTAGATAAATCTCTTTTCTTTTTGAAATAGAAGAGTTCCAAACTGTCAGTGTAAACACCTTTGTGACATGATCTTGTAACTGACTTGTAATACTAGGGTACCCCTGACTGTGTTGCCAGTTATCATGATACACTGATTACACCATGTCTGGAGAAAAATGTCAGGTCTGTGTCAGTGGATGACAGAACATTAGGTAGTGCACTTACCAGCAGTTACTCTTCAGTTCAGTAGCTGTGCATTAAATCAGATCAGGTCTGCTAAGAGATATTTTCCTCCCTGTTGTTTAGTTTTCATTCTGCTGTTAGCTTAGCCCTAGACTATTTTTATTTCTAAGTGTGTGCAGAGTGTTTACGGCATAGGAAAGTTGGTTATTTTATGCTTTAGGATATACTACCTTTTTTTTTTTTTTTGAAGCTAAGTCCTGTTTTTCTTTCATAAAGAAAAATTTAATGTATTTTACAACCCTAATGAATTGCATTACATAATAATACAAGAATTTTTAAACTGTATTAAAAATGATTCTAAATAATTCCTCCCATAAGAAGTTAGGATCTATTTCTGACAGGTATCATGTATTAGTTCCTTTTTCATAAATAACAATATACAATGTCCCCAAAAATGTATACACACACTTTGAACAAAGGCAATGCTTATTAAAATGCATTTCATTTTCAAAATTGAGCTATCAGCTATTAAAGTGTCTATACATGCTTTGGGGCACCCTGTAGTACTGACTTAAAAATCTTTCAGTGGATTTTCTAATCAGATGTTTAGTGATAGGATGTTAAATAACTAAGAATTGTTTTAAGTTTTTAAATGGAAATTTTGTGTTTCTATATGTTTTCCCTCTCTATGCTGAGGAATAATTAGGATAGATATAATTAAATATATATTGCAGATGAGGTGATCCAGTCTCAGAGATGCAGTTTTCCCAGTTATATAACCAGAAGGTAGAAAGCTGCAGATATTTTGGTCCCTTGTGACACATTGAGTGGGGAAAATTTCCACTTATTTGGACTGTTTATTTGCTTGCATAATTCAAAACAATAGAAAACACAGTTTATGTAATTTTTCCTAAATTATGATTTGTGTAGAATGTGTGTGTTACTGAGATGTTGATCCTAATTAGATAGCCATAGAAATATGTATTCTATTTTTTGTGTTAAAACACGATTGATCCATCTGAAATGTATTTTATGTCTATAATTTTTTTATGTTTACCGATATAAAACAAACTTTTTCCGTGATCATACTGGAGATGCACATTTTGCATATTCTTAGAATTAGATAGGTAAAAGAGAATGAACATTTTATGATTTTTCATGGTAAAAATTTATATCTCAACAGAAGTGATGAGGATGATGATACCAATTACAATTTAATGATATTAAAGAAGTTAATGAATTTTTATTACTTTGCTTATCTTGTATACTGGTGTCTAGTCTCTTTAAAATCTTTTTTTTTGGCATTTATGACTTTTATTGCATATACTATGGTAGGTGAAAAAGTATTTTTTTAAAATGATTTCATCTTTGCATTTTGACATAAATGTCATTATTATGTAAACTATTTTTCAGAATGTTCTCTATTTCCCTTCCTCTTTTTCTTTTGTGAATTTATAAATATAAATTTAAAAAGTAAATTATTAATCATACTTTTTTTTTTTTTTTTTAGGTTGCTATGGAGTTGATGGAGAGAGTGACTCTATTATGAGTTCAGCTTCTGAAAACTCCACTGAACCTTGGTTTTGTGATGCCTGTAAATGTGGTGTTTCCCCTAGCTGTGAACTGTGTCCTAATCAGGATGGAATTTTCAAGGAGACAGATGCTGGAAGGTTGATGTCATAACTATCTTGGATCAATATGTATGCTTTATAATGTGGCTGCTTCTAACTATTCTTTTACTCTAGTTTTCTAAGTTCCATACACCGTTTCATTTGATCACTTTTTTGTAGCTTGTTGGCATAGAGTAAATGAACAATAGACTAAGGGTCAGAGGGGAGATGGGGGAAGACCAAGTTTTGGATATCTATATTTGCCTTTATACCCTTTATTCTATTTAATGTTAATATTAACTTTATGGTGAGACAAGTTATAGTTTCTGACTTAGTACCTAAGGCTCGGATCATTTAAATAATTTTAATTTTCTCAAAACCACGAGCTGGTGAATAGTCAAGTTTGAACTAATGTCTTTTTTATTCCAAGAATATATCACAAAACCCATATAGGGATTTAAAAGAATTTTTATTTAAAGAATTGTTAAGCTATGATAAATACTATTGGATATAAAAGAACTCTTAAAAATTAGGAGGATAACTCCTTCTCCCAGGCTGAGGTTCAGACCTTGGGGAAAGAGAAGGTGTAGTTGGGGCTTACTGGATGACAGAGTGCTCTGTTCCTGGTAGATACTTAGTAGTTGATTAGTGAGTGAATAGATGAAGGACTGAAAAGAACATATTAAAAGTGGATTTCCTGTGTTGTAAAGGCACTACAAGTTCAAGGCATTTAAGAATCAAATTTGATTGATTAATATAGTTCCTATTCTAAAAGAAAGCATCTTTCTACTTAGTTTAATGTATTAAACTAAGTGAATTTAAAGAATCTAGTCACCATTTCTATACTAGAATGACAATTCTGACTCTTTGTTTTTTGGTGGTTTTACGTGGTGTTGGTTTTCTGCTCCTTTCCCCAATCGACATCTGTCAGCATAGCTCCAAGAAAAATGGATGGTAAAGTAACACAGAAGATTATTCCTGTTTGATTTCTCTACTTGCCTTAATTACAAAGTTCTAAAGTATGTGCAGCTAAACAGGTGAACAAATAATTATTCACAGCAGGTATTAATAAGGACCAACATTGCCTCAGCTTGTTGATATGCATTTTAATGAAGACTCATGTTAGTGTCCTCTCATGAGTGGTTGGGGAAAATGATACACTTGTGTGCCAATCATACTGAAATGGCAGTTTGTATCTGTAGTACTTGTGTGACTTGTACTAAGACATTTTAAGAAGGTCAGTCTGAAGCAAGCAGCCAGCTGTTAGGTTTATCAAAGATAAACTCCTGTCGAGTACAGCAGCATTTAACACATCAGTGGAGCATGAAAGAACTGTGCAAATTAAATTGAGAAAGCTGCTTGTCGAAGATGTGTATCTTTATATTGAACTCCACAGGATGCATTTGGGAGGTTGGATTAAAATACTGTATCAAGAAAAATCTCCAAACTTTGGATTTTTTCCCATTAAAAAAGATAATTTTTAAAGATTCGTAGCTACTTTCCCCAAACCTCTATAAAATGATTCTTAGTCTTATTTCTTTAAAACGCATAGTGCACCACAAAACAGAACCATGTAGCAATCATAGCCTCTTATGCTGTGATAAAGCGGAATTTATTGTTAATATATTCACAAGGGTAAGAGAGATTTGCCATCTCATTTTTACTCTCTTTCTTACAGAAGTGATATAGATCTTTTTAAATTTGAAAATCCATTGATCCATCTTTTGTTAATTGTAAGCAAACAGAAATGGAGCGTCATTTAATTTAAAAAGTTCAGAGCAATTTGACCAGTGTCACTCAGTGATTGAGCTGCGACCTATGTACCAGGAGGTCACAGTTCGATTCCCGGTCAGGGCACATGCCTGGGCTGTGGGCTCAATCCCTAGTAGGGGTGTGCAGGGAGAAGGCGATCAATAATTGCCTCTCATCATTGATGTTTCTATTTCTCCCTCTCTTCTTTGAAATCAAAAAAGTATATTTTTTTAAAAAAGGTTCAGAGCAGTTAAAAAACACACAACAGAATTAGAATCAACTTGTGTTTATTTGTTATTTTTAGTGTATTAAAACTTTGAGCATTCTTAATTTAGTGTTGCAGCATCATTCAGACTTAAAAAAAATTTGTATGTGGGGGGATATAAATTCTAATACATAGGTTGTATGGTGGAGAGATATGACTTCCTTATCTTTTTTTTTTTTTTTTTTTAAGGCCACAGGAAAATGGCAATTGTTACATGATCTTAGAGCAGTTAATGCTACTATGCATACCATGGGAGCTTTACAACCTGGACTTCCAGCACCTTCACAAATCCATTTATTTATTTATTTATAATATATTTTATTGATTTTTTTACAGAGAGGAGGAGAGAGGGATAGAGAGCTAGAAACGTCGATGAGAGAGAAACATCGACTAGCTGCCTCCTGCACACCCCCCACTGGGGATGTGCCTGCAACCAATGCACATGCCCTTGACCGGAACTGAACCCGGGACCCCTTAGTCCGCAGACGGATGCTCTACCACTGAGCCAAACCGGTTTTGGCACGACTTCCTTATCTTATTGTAACTGTTCTGTACAGTTTACTGGGAAGAGAGTCAAGATGCATATCAAAAATTGTTGTAAAATGTGTCCTCAAAGGATTTTCCAACAGCCTTTAGAAAAAAATAACAAGAATAATTTTACCTAATTATTGCATAGTAATTTCACAGTTCTTCAATTAGTACCCTTAATTCTCAAAGTACTTATAATAATGAATGTGAATACTTTTTCACACATATGAAAATGATGTTTTGTTTCATTTGAGTAATGGTTTTGTGCAGATATTTAAAACTAACAGGTAAATGGTAAATATAGTGAATTTTAAGTGCATGGCAATTATAGTCGTTAACTCTCAGCTTTGGCTGAGCGGCTGGACAAATAGTGCTTTTTGTAGTCACTCTTTCTGTAACTAAATATCATTCTATACATGTTCTATATTCTTCAGATGTATGTCTGAGATTTTGAAATCTGACCGTAGAGATGGTATATATATTTTATGTCTACTTTCCACGTGGACATTTTATAAAAAGGGTTTGATAGAAGAATCTTATGTTTTCTCCTTATAGATGGGTTCACATTGTTTGTGCCCTTTATGTTCCTGGAGTAGCATTTGGAGATATTGACAAATTACGACCAGTAACACTAACTGAAATGAATTATTCCAAATATGGTGCCAAGGTGAGACAATGTTTTTGATGGTGTAAGATAGAAAGTTTTTTCTTACTAGTTTACACGGCTTTTTACTTGCATTGTTGACTATAGAGATGCCAGCTAGTAATCATACTGTTTGTATAGCAGTTAAATCTAAATAATTTATTATTTATAGTAAAGTTTTCTCATATCTAAAATGGAAATACTATAGTACCTCATTCACATATTAGTGTGGAATATTAATGATATTAATATGTGCAATGTGCTTAGAATAATGATATTCTATGTGCAAAGTGCTTAGAATAATGCCTACCACATAGTAAGCCCTCAAATAATATTATCATCATTATTATGTTGGTGGAATTATGGTTTATTTGAATACATAGAGACTTTTTTTTTTTTCATATATACCCTTGGCTTGCCTACTGTTGTTTGTATTAATATAGTATTGGTTCACTACTTGTATTTTGTGGATGCTTTGTAAGAGAATGCTATCTCCTAGAAATATTTGTTTTCTGAGCTATTTCCTGTTATCCCATTGTAGGAGTGTAGCTTCTGTGAAGACCCTCGTTTTGCTAGAACTGGAGTTTGCATTAGCTGTGATGCAGGTATGTGCAGAGCCTATTTCCACGTGACTTGCGCCCAGAAGGAAGGCCTGCTTTCGGAGGCAGCAGCAGAAGAGGTAGGTTTATTTAAACCTATAGTTGATGAATACTTCCATGAAGCTTCTCACGACTGTTATATCCTACATCAGGTATCCTCAGAAATTTAACTTAAAAGTTTATTTGCCTAGATCACTGGTCTGAAACTTAAAGAGTTAACAATATACCAGTATATGAGTTTTTTCCAGTTTTAAAGCAAGTCAGATGCTTGGAAGACTTGTTAAAATTTTGGTAGTGAGATCTAATAAATGAGATGAAACATAATCCAAAGTATTTTAAAGCATTAAAATGTCAGCCTATCCTACATAATAAAAGGCTAATATGTAAATGACCAGATGGTGGAATGACCGGTCACTATGATGTGCACTTACCATCAGGGGGCAGACACTCAACACAGGAGCTGCCCCTGGTTGCCAGTGTGCTTCAACAGGGGGAGCGCCGCTCAGCCAGAAGCTGGGCTCAGGGCTGGAGAGCACACAGCAGTGGTGGGAGCCTCTCCCACTTTTGTGGCAATGCTAAGGATATAGACTGGCAGCTTACTAAGCCTTCAGTCAGACATCCTTCCAGGACTCCCAGACTATTAGAGGCCATGATGAGAGACCTCCCCCCACCAACTGCATGAATTTTGTGCACCGGGCCTCTAGTTTTATATGAGTCTGAAATTGTATTTGGGTAATAATCTTGCTCTCTTACTCTCTAAATAAAACCACTACCTTGTCTTTAGAATCTACATTTCTATCTCTTTACAGTTATTTTTAGTTCTATAATTTTTCTTCTAAGTTTATTGTCTTTAGATTAAGCAATCAGTTGTTTTAAAAGCGTGTTTTGGAAGCTCCTTAATATTCTATTAAGAGGTCTGTGAAGTTAAAGCTATTTTCATGACAATATGAAAATGGTATATACTATTTTTATTCTTAATTCTCTCATAAGCAACAGTGGCGATATCCAGAGATAATATAACATAATATGATCAGCATAGTTTATCCCCACTTTGACTGGGTTCCACTCCATTGGAAGGAGGGAACAAGGACAGTAAGAGTAGGCAGTTTTCTTTCATGGGCATGGAAATTTCACACCTCATTGGCTGGATCTTATCACATGGTTATATCTATCTGCAAGGAGGCTGGAGCAGAGCATTTCCAATCAAATAGCCATGGATGCAGTAAAAACTCAGAGGGTTGTACTAATTGAAGAAAAGGGGAGAATAGGTAGTGGAAGGCAGTGGTTTTTATAGTAGTTAATATTTGCTTTATATATCTGTTTCATTCTCTTTGCTTAGAGAATATTCAGTCATCCTAGCTTTAAAATTAGGGTTTATTGCCTCTCAATCCAAAATAAACTGATTAAAACAGAACAAAAATTATTTGGACTACTTACTCATTTTCAGATATCTTTTAGAACAGAAAAGACTGATCTTTTTCCTAAGTCAGGCTTGATCCTAATGCTTAACTCACCCATACAAACATGAATCCACCTGATAATTCAATTTCAACCTTCCCTACTTTAAAAACAATAGAATAATACTTTAGATGTGGCCATCTGGCTAAGGTTCAATATAATCTTTATTTCCACATAGCATTTTCTGTCACCAGGATTTAAAGCATGTCATGAAAAAGATGTGTGTGTGTGTGTGTGTGTGTGTGTGTTTGAATGCACTCTTGTAGCTACATTTTTGTGTTTTATTTATATAGCCATATGAAGTAGTTATTATTAAGTCCATTTTACTAATGAATTGTTTAGCAACTTGTTTGAAGCTGCAAAACCAGTAAATGATAGAGCTAAAATTTGTAAGTAGGGTTTTATATTTCTAATTCTGTGACCATATCCACAGCATTATAGTATGACATCTGTGGATACCACCCTACAGAATGATATTGTATGGCTTTTTTTCTATGTTAACGACACCTTAGATTCTTTTAAAATTATTATTTCTCTTTCTATTCTTACTTGTGTGTGTGTTTTTTTGTTTTGTTTTGTTTTTAGTATTATCATTTTTCTTTGGGTTGTAAAACCCCATCTTACTAATAGGCCTTTTTAGTATAACTTAGATTAAAACTTTATGGGTAGCTTATCTTTATTTCTCCTCCTTACAACTTCTTAATATATTGTTGTTTTATCATCTTAACCTATATATGCATAACTTTGATATTTAGTGATAATTTCTTCTTAAGGTTATTAAAATCCTATTTATTTTAAACAGAACTTTTAATATTTAATTTATGGATTAAATATACAACATAAGAGTTGACTTAAGTATTTTTAAATCCATAAAGCACTTTTAAGAAAAAAATTATTAATTTGACATTGACATGCAGAATTAAGTTTCTAAAGAAGTAGTTTTTATCTCTATGTGTATAAATTACTTTTATAATTTACTTTAGAAATAATACTGTTGGAGAGATTTTAAAAATTAGATCTTGTGTTGTGTTCCCTATAACCTTCTGAAGTAAAAAATGTTTATTTCTTTCCCTGTTTTTTTGATATAGGATATAGCAGATCCATTTTTTGCTTATTGCAAGCAACATGCAGATAGGTTAGATAGAAAGTGGAAGAGAAAAAACTACTTGGCTCTACAATCCTACTGTAAAATGTCTTTACAAGAAAGAGAGAAGCAGCTATCACCAGAAGCACAGGTATGGAATTTATGCCAAACTCACATTTATTTGAGGTTATATATTTCAGATCTCACGTGTGTTTGCCAATATCATATGAAATATAGTGATGAAATTTGGTTAGTTACTTAGGAAATGGGTTGTCATTAAATTAAATGGCGAGTAATTTGTGGCTAAATACATTGCTTCTCATCTAGTCAACAGAGCAACCATTTATAAAGCATGTTTCCAAATACACTGAGAACCATGGCTTAGAAGGAATTATTCTATCCATGTAATATATCAACCACACCTTTTTCAATCTCTTCTGATGTTTATGCAAAGTATTTGGTCAGTTTGCCCATCATTTAAAATGTATTTCTGTGTAAATTAGATAAATTTATGGACACTACTGCAGTTATTAAGAAGAGAAAACTTCAGCTTAATGAAATTAATTTATTACAACTCTGATCATAGAGTAGGACAGTTATTACTAGGGGTAGACATAATTTATTGTAACCCAAGAATTATACAGCATATACTCAAGGACCATGGATAGTTATTACTTGCTTTGACATAGGAAATTCAAGTATCTTTACTTTCTCTAAGCATGGAAGTAAAAATTTTGAGTACATTCCATTTTAATATCTTAAAATTTGTATGCATATTTTTATAGGCAAGGATCAATGCCCGGCTTCAGCAGTATCGTGCCAAAGCAGAACTAGCTCGATCTACCAGACCCCAGGCCTGGGTTCCAAGGGAAAAATTGCCCAGACCACTTACTAGCAGTGCTTCAGCCATTCGGAAACTGATGCGGAAAGCAGAATTAATGGGGATCAGCACAGATATCTTCCCAGTGGACAATTCAGATACTAGTTCTAGTGTGGATGGAAGGAGAAAGCATAAGCAACCTGCTCTCACTGCTGATTTTGTGAATTATTATTTTGGTCAGTATAGACACGGATGCATGCACATTTTCAATGAGAACAATTTGCTAATGAAAATATTTGATATGCCATAAATTTTTAATTTATTAGTCATGATGCATGTATCAAGCATGTTTATTTTCCTAATAATCTATGGGTTGTTATAAAATGCTAGGTTTATATCTTTGTGAATAGAGTTAAAAATGTTTTAAACAATGTAGGTTTATCCATGTGACATTTCTATGGCTAGCTTCTTCCTTTGTGTATTTTGTATATCAGCTTTTATTTTCTATTAAGTAAAATTTGATATTTAATTTAAATAGAGAGAAATATGCGCATGATTCAAATTCAGGAAAACATGGCTGAACAAAAGAATATAAAGGATAAATTAGAGAATGAACAAGAAAAGCTTCATGTGGAATATAATAAGGTAAGTTGGCTGCAGGACAATAATATAATAGATCTTATTGATGATTTTTTGGTGATTTTTACAGCATTACTACTTATCTTTCATTTTGAAGTTCTTCTTGAGTTTTAGGCCCTTCCCTACAACTCCCATCCCTCATTATCTTCTCTAACACTTATTGGGCACTTGCTATGCTATGTGCCAGTCACAATTTTGAGAACTTAACTTGTATTCATTCATTTAATTCTGATGCAACTGTATAATGTGGATTATGCCCATTTTCAGAGAAGGAAACTCCTAAGCAGGTGAAGTAATTTGTGTAGGCTCATGTAGGCCTTCAAGTCTTAGAGTGATGTCTCAGACCAAGCAGTCTGACTCCATTCTTTATTCCTAATCCCTGAACTGTGGAACTTCTCTTAAGTCTGTAGAAAACTTGGAAACTTACTATTAAATTACTATTTTTATCTTGAATTGTAATGTTATTTTTGATTAAAAACAAAACTTCTCGGTTAAAATTTGCATTCTACCTCCTTATTCTAATAATGAGGGAGCTCAAAAAGAAAGGTCATATAAAAACATCATATAAAATGTTAGGTAGTAAGTAACATTAACATTTGGTATTGACTTATTGTTAGATAACATTTTAAGTGATAAAAAATTAGTAAGAAGAAATATCCTATAATTAGCCACACAATAGTGAAAGAATACTTGATTAGATTCAGGAGTCCTGGGGGTTCTTGCTATTTCTATGATCATTTCCAAGTCAACAAAACACTGTTTCTTAGTTTTCTCATTGGGATAGAGTAGAAATGCTTTTTGATAGTCACAAGAATTAATTAGCAAAATGTGTGTGAAATTATATAATAAACTACAGAAATATATAAATGTAGGTATCATTGTCATTAGGAAAAATGCTTACATTTTGTTAAGTCTTCTCAACTAATTGGATACATCTCTCAGTGATATGTGACTATAATGTATTAAAACTATATGGAATATGAATATAAGTATTTTTATATCGATAAATAATTTACATTTTTGCATATTTTACTATCCATTTTAATGGTTTGTTAATTTGAATTATTGCATTGTAGCTATGTGAATCTTTAGAAGAACTACAAAACCTGAATGGGAAACTTCGAAGTGAAGGACAAGGAATATGGGCCTTACTGGGCAGAATTACAGGGCAGGTTAGTTTCTTTCCATTTGCTATCTTCTTCTATTCTTATTCTCCATTTTATTTTCAAAAATCAGATCTCTGATACAGCTGCTACTTTGCTAACTGAAGAATTCTATTTAATTAGGGCCAACTAATCCTCTTGGATAATGATTTCTGCCTGAAATATATAGAGAGCATTAAGGTCTGCCTCCATAGAATCTGTAGCTTAATTTTGGTTGTTTTGACAGCTGTTTTGTTTGCAAAATTTTTCATTTGTTCTTACTGAGTGACTTGTGATTATGATGAAGATTTGAAGCATGAGTTAACTCCTACCACATTCCTCACCCCCACCTTCAATTTAGCAGTTTTAAATTCTTTGTCATATTTTCTTCTGACTTATTCTTATATTTAGTTATTTTGTGTTTTTAATATATATATATACATATATATATATATATATATATATATATATATATATATATTATAGGGTTTTTTTAGAGAGAGAGGAAGGGAGAGGGAGAAAGAAACATAGATGTAAGAATTTTTTAAATGTAAAATTTAAAAGGCTAATGGAGAGATGAGATTCATTTTCATATTGTTTTGCTTTTGTAAGAAATGATTTGTGAAACTTTATAGTTTTTCTCTTCAGCAGGTATTAAAATTACTTTACCCTTTACCATTTTTAGCCTGTGCTTTTGTTGAAAAGAAGAATCATTTTCAAATGGTTTTCTTTGAATGTTCTCTTTTTTTTTAAGTACATGTATATAATTCATATATTTAGAATTCATTCAAGTATTTTCAGATATATTTTTTAAGGATGATGGAGACTCACTGTGGTCCTTTCATTTTGAAAGTAGTTTTGTTTGTGAACAATGATTTTCAAAGAAAAGATATTTTTCATTATACTCATTTCACAGATTTACAAAGACTCAAATTCATCGTACAGTGTGTGTAGACATATTTCAGGAAGCAATACACACTGATATGTATTGTAACATGCTAGTTTTGAGGAATGCATTTGTGAATAGGATATATGTGGCTTATCTATATATATAAGACTAAGCGACTGTTATGACCAAATGACCAGAACAATAGAAGCCAGTCTATCATTCACTATGACATACATTGACCACCAAGGGGCATATGCTCAAGGCAGGAGCTGCCCCCTGGTGGTCAGTATGCTCCCACAGCCAACCTCCCACTGCTGGCCAACCTCCATGGTCCCTCTCCTTGAGCAGCCTGCCAACCTCCTGTGGCCCCTCCTCAACCCCTCCCACTGGCCGGCAGACTCCAATCAGCTCAGCCTCAATCAGGATTGGGTGAGATGGCCCTGATTGGCCCTGATTGCCAGACAGGCCTAGGGACCCTACTTGTGCACAATTTCGTGCACTTGGCCTCTAGTAATGAATAATACAGTTTAAAAGCTGAGAATGAATACTTGCTTATGCAGAACTTACCTTTGTTTCCATCAATAAGTTGTTGATGGATTTTTAGAAGATTATGGTGTTTTATATATACTAGAGGCCTGGTGCATGAAAATCTTACACTTAGGGGCGTCCCTCAGCTCTTCCTGAATCCCCTCTCAGTCTGGAAGCCCTTCGGGGATGTCCAACTGATGGATATCCTTAGTGCTGCCACGGAGGCGGGAGAGGCTCCTATCACCACTGGGGTGTTTGCCAGGCGTGAGCCCAGCTTCTAGCTGAGTGGCACTTCTCCTGTGGGAGCACACTGACCACCATGGGGCTGCTCCTGTGTTGAGCGTCTGCTCCCTGGTGGTCAGTGTGTGTCATAGTGACCAGTCATTCTGCTGTTCGGTTGATTTGCATATTAGCCTTTTATTATATAGGAAATCTATTGATTGATTGAGAGAGAGAGAGAGAGAGAGAGAGAGACAGACATTGATTTTTGTTGTTGCACTTATTCATGCATGCATTTCTTGTATGTGTCCTGACTGGGGATAGAACCCATAATCTTGGTGTATCGGGATGGGATGACGCTCTAACCAACTGAGGTACCTGGCCAGAGCTGGTGTTTTGTATTTTATATTTAGAGAACTTAATGTTGAGTACAAGCTAGTTTATTTGCCAAGCTAGCATTATCTTTTGGCTTGATTTACAAGTTAGTCTCGTAAGAATCTGCTATAAAAGGGCATTTCCATTTATTAAATGACTTTTAACAGAAGCTCTGATTTTCTTGTGCAAATATAAAATGCACAGCAGAGGTAGAATTCATTTGTACTGCTTGCACGACACTTTTTTCCAGTTGGTTGAACAGATGCCGGCCCACTGGGCCACTGAGAAATGACTTTGATAGATGATTGCTGTCTGAAAAGCCAGCATACTACAGATTAGTAGAAACCCAAAGAGATTCTCATTCGCTTTGTGGAGAGTTTGGTCCAATAAGATAATTTTTCTAATTAACCTAGGGAGCACCAGTGTAGTTGGGATACTGAGGAAAATAAACGGCTTCAATATTCTTTTTGTCAATGTACGGTGTGTATTTTTTTTTAAATGTTCTTAAATGCTTGTCCTTGTCTTTCACTTTTTAAAGCTAAAGTAGTTTAATTTTCATGATGTTTTAGTGTTCCCCTGAAAATGATGGAAGTAGGTGTGAAACAAAAACTCATTTTAATTCTTTTTCCTGTGTAATAGCTGGTAAAACATTTCCCCTCACAATCCTAGCACTTTCAGTTGACTTGAGTAGCATAGAGGGGAAAATGTTGAAATAAACTGTATTTGTTCAAACCAATAGAAGTTGAACATACCGGCAATTTTGAGGGCACCCAAGGAGCGAAAACCAAGTAAAAAAGAAGGAGGTGCACAAAAGACATCTATTCTTCCTACGGTACTTTATAGGCAAGTAATGAAATTATGGCAGATTAATATTGTGTGTTTTCAAGCTAATTCTTTTTAGTAACAAAATACTTCAATGTATTTGAGAATGAATTATGTCGACACCAGAATTTAAGTTAAATGCATTTAAAATTATTTTTATTAATACCTTAATAAAAAATGTTTTCAAGTGTAGTGATAGAAGAGATTTTTATTCCTCGTTTAATAAGATAAATGAAATGACTCTTTGTATCTTTTAAATAACTGAGGATATATGTGCATAAGCTTTATGGAAATGAACGGTCTTCTTTGGGGAATTGGAAAGTGACTTTAAATAATGTAGATGATTATTTTTATAAATAATTACACAATACATTAGATAAATAGTCATTTTTATTTTACTTGAGTAAGTTTTAGAGTTCTGCATGTGTTTTTAGGTTCTTTTTGTTTTTCTTTTTTTTTTTTTTTAATATATTTTATTGATTTTTTACAGAGAGGAAGAGAGAGGGATAGAGAGCCAGAAACATTGATGAGAGAGAATCATCGATCAGCTGCCTCCCGCACACCCCCCGCTGGGGATATGCCCGCAACCAGGTACATGCCCTTGCCTGGAATCGAACCCGGGACCCTTCAGTCCGCAGCCGATGCTCTATCCACTGAGCCAAACCAGTCCCTGCTGTTTTTAGGTTCTGATGGTTATCATATATATGTGTGTGTATATATATCTATATATCTATATCTATATTTATATAGATATAGATATATATATATATATCTTGAATTATTGCCTTTGTACAGTGGTGGGTAATGAAGATAGGTTTTAAATTGAACCTGTCTACATTTTCCTCTCTCTATGCTAAGCTTTAATAATTCTGATAATTTTGTTTCCAGATGTATTTTTGTTCTTTTTTTTTGGCTTAATATTTTACATTGTCACCATTATAGTAATTTTACATAGTCAAGACTTCTTACCATACCCTAATAGGTTACAGTATTTTCCCCTTCCTCCCTTACTTTCTTCTTCTCTCCCTCTCTCCCTCCCTTCCTTCCTTTCATTTTCCCCTTTTTATTGGGGTGACACTGGTTAAGAAAATTACCTAGGTGCACAATTCCACAACATGTCATCTGTACACTGTGTTTGTGTTCCCCACCTCAAATGATCTTTTTTATTGTTAATCCTCAACCAAGGATACTTTTTCAGAGCAGTGGAGGGAGGGGAAGAGAGAAAGAGAGAGAAACATTGATATGAGAGAGACACATGGATTGGTTGCCTCCTGCACATGCCTTGACCGGTGTCCGGGATTGGAACCTGCAACCCAGGTGTATGCTCTTGACTGAAAATATTTACCCTCAACCCTTTGGGGCTCTATACTCTTATCCACTGAGCTACACTGGCCAGAGCTCAAAGGATATTTTTTAATAAAATATTTTATTGATTTCAGAAAGGAAGGGAGAGGGAGAGAGTTAGAAACATCAAGGTTGAGAGAGAATCATTGATTGGCTGGCCACTGCACACTCTCTACTGGGAATGGAGCCCACAACCCAGGCATGTACCCTGATCAGGAATGTAACTGTGACCTCCTGGTTCACAGGTTGATGCTCAACCACTGAGCAACACAGGCTGGGATTTTTTTTTGTAACTGATTAAATGAGAAAAGTTTAGAAGATGTTAGATTCATTTGTGTGTATATATACATTGTGTATACAAATGTAAATATTCATGTAACCTGCATATATGCTTATGTAATACATAACATGACTACAGTCTTTTCCTTTTATAGAAGTAGTAGCTACAGTCACAGTATCAATCTTTATACTTATTTTCCATTCCTGTTTGAAGGCTCCCTCCATAGGTAATAGCAAATAACTCCCTTGAAATGTGGAAAAAGCCCCATTAGTGTCTTAGTGTACTGTGGGAAGACTAACACATTCTCAATTCAACTTTTTTCCAAACAAAACTAGTTCATTTAGAAGTATTCTTCTAAGTTTTATCTCTACAGTTAATTTTTACTTTTGACTATATTGTAGGTGATTTTTTTTCTTTTTTCTTTTTTTTCACTCAGAATAATTTTGAGACCAAATACTGGTGGTGGTGGTGGTGGTAGTGGTGGTGTTGGTTGTTGTTGTTGTGTGTGTATGACTTTTTTTTTTTTCTAGGATTATTTAAAAAATTAAAAATTCATTGCTGTTTCTGCATATGGATAGCTCTTTTAGATTCTCTTCCCTTAGTCTTTACATTCCCAGTATTAATAAATATACTCTAGATTTTCAGGACATGGTGCATGTGCTCTCAGTAGTTGCCTTTTTGCACAAGAAAAGTTAGATTCCTTAAAAACTAACAAAAATCCAAAATAACAGTAACACCAATAGTAAAACTCCCCATTCTCTGCAGTAAATGTATATAGTATATTTTTAAGATGCTAAGTCTGATTTTGAAAAGAGACATGTATATATAAACCTTATTTACATGTTGGAGGCTCTTTGAAAGATTTATAATTAATAGTAGGAAAGAAACTGAACTTTGTAACGTTACTTTTTTTTGTAGTTTTAGAGAGGTAGAAAATTGAAATTTTTATTTAATAATGTATATTTTTACAGGAAAATATAGCTAATGTTAAATGGGTTTTAAGTGATAAAATTAAGATAAAGATGTTGAGAATAAATATTACCTATATTTCCTTCTGCAAAAGGTTTGTTTCTAGCACTATTTAAATTTATACTAGATTCATGCTATTTTTCTATATCCTCAAAAGTATTTAGAATTAATAATTACTTATTGACATTACTAAAAATTTTATTTTGAAAAAATATTTGACTTCAACAAAAATACAAAAAAAATCAGTACAAAATTTTGAAATTTTAAAAAATTACTATCAATTAACCGTTCTACACTGATAATTATTATTCTAATACTTCATTTGCTGCCTTATTCAAAGTTGTGGAATTTGTAAGAAGAACCATGATCAGCATCTTCTTTTGCTGTGTGATACCTGTAAACTCCATTACCATCTTGGATGTCTGGACCCTCCTCTTACAAGGATGCCGAGAAAGACCAAAAACAGTTATTGGTGAGTACAATGGAGTGGATTGAGATGTTGGAATTGGGTTGGCTTCATTTCAACAGTGTAAGATGACGTGTTATATTGCTTCATAATAAAGCGTGTGGCACATTTTAAAGTTGATACTTTCATAAGTATTTTATTCAACTCTATTGAGGTATATCGACAAAAATGGAATATATAATTTAAGGTGTACAACTCAATGATGTGATTGTAAAATAATCATCACAACCAAGTTAATTAATATATTCATAACCTCGCATTGTTATTGTTTTCTGTTTTTTAGATAAAAATGCTTCTGATATACATGTTTGTAATAGTATTATATGAATAACACAGTAATAGATTTTTTTTTTTTTTTTTTAGAAATGAATTTTAAGTTAATGGAGGCTGTTTTGGTATTTTAGTGGATTCTTAAAGCCTGAATTCTATCTAGTGTGTTTATAATTCTCTTATACTTTATTATAAGAATTTCTCAAATGATTTATTTGTTTTGCAATGCAATTTATCAAAAATTTGCCTCCATATTCATGCTTTTATTTGTAATTTACAATATATTTTATTTCTAAATTAGTGTTACTGAAGGCTTTACATCTGGTAGTTGTCATTTGTGCTAGTTATATATAAAACTATTCTTTGCAAATATAGAAACATTTGACAAGTTTCTTAATTTTTTTTTTTTTTCTTAAACCTGGGCATATTGAATCACTACAGATATATGATAAAAGTTTATGATACCTATGTTGAGTTCTATTCTTTTCTTAATTTTAGTCCAAAGGAGAGACAGATGTTCAGATTTTAACAGGTTGATTCTATATAGGAAGAATATGGGACACAAAAAACTTTGGAATAGACATGATATTTTTTTTTAATACAAATTACTTTTCTAGTTTTAGAATGAACTTAATGAACCCCAAATTTTTAAATGGTAGTTTATACAAAAAGTCGTGTGTGTTTCTCAAACGTATTAAACATGTTTTTTTTTTTATCTCACTGTTGTATCTCATGAAGCTACCTCTGTTCATTGTATTAGGAATCTTACATTTTTTCTCACAACTATACAGGATTGATTTTCATAATGATCTTTTGTCAGTTTGTCATGAGACACTCATACTTGTCTGCTCTTCTCGAATATAGTGGACTATATTTCTTTTGATATTTATGTGCTTTTGAAACCAGAATTTAAGAAGATACTGCTATATCTTATGGAATGCCAGCAGTATTAATAAGTATCCTAAATGAAGGTGGAGGGATAAAAGATGCCAATCTTTTAAGTTCTGAAAGTCATATCAGACTGAGGGGGAGTATCTTGCAATAATAGAGGGAAGTCACCCACCTCTTTGTCCATGCTCCTATGATCAAAAGTACAGAGCACAGAACCCAGTATTTGAAGTCTGGGTTTATTTTGCCCACCTTGGATTTTAACTACTGTGTGCAAGCTAGTGCAGGAATATGTGCATAACTGCCTGTCATGTGGCGTGGGATGGGCATTGGGTTAGCTGCTGTTTGGTAAGAGCTGAAGTTGACTGAAGTTAACAGCAGTTTGCCTGTGCAAGCCTTTCCCTGGAAGTTGCAAGTCTTCTATAGACTCCAGAGTTCCAAAGTAGTTACATCAGATAGATTTGGCTAGTGCAGTTATATTCCAGTTAGAGAATGTTAAGGACTTGTATACATGCATATAAGTACAACCAATGGACATAAAACTCTGGGGAGGGAGGGTATGTATGGGAGGGAGGGAAGGAGGGGGGCAAAAAAAAATCAATAAAATATATTAAAAAATAAAATAAAAAAATAAAAATGATTCATTAAATTATTTTAATGAGTAAGTTTATATTTCCTCTTCCATAAATGGTAAAAAAAAAAAAAAAAAGACCCATTCATCTTTCAACACTTTTTAGAAATGATTTTTACAGTTTTTTAGTTGGTTTACTATTATGGCTTATCATTAAGAATAAAGGATATGACTTCTATAATGGAAGTAGAGCTAGGATTAATAAAAGACTGATTTTCAAGTATCATAGTACATGTCACTTAAGACAGTCATGATTTCCAAAGGGAAATATTTTTTATTAATGTTGAATTTTCTTATGTTATTTACTTAAACATGCAGCATTATTACATATTGTTCTTATAACATTTATAGGGGTACATGAATTACCTTAGAAAAATATATATTTATATACTGTTGCCATTCTTATTGGTAGGTATATGCCTTTCTGTATGTATAGTCATTGTATACCCTGTGGTCACAAATACCAATGTATATTTTTATATATTCTTCACAATGTATGTTTTTATGTATTCTGAATTTTATATTTATAGAAACCAATGCTAACATTAGGAGGTAAAAATAAATGTATGAACTTATATTTTTCCTTTATATAGGCAGTGCTCAGAATGTGACCAGGCTGGGAGCAGTGACATGGAAGCAGAGATGGCCATGGAAACTTTACCAGATGGGACTAAACGATCAAGGAGGCAGATTAAAGAACCAGTGAAATTTGTTCCACAGGATATGACTCCAGAACCCAAGAAGATTCCAATAAGAAACACGGTAATTTATTCCCTAATTATTGTAATCATCACAAAATTCTGAGACCAAAACTGAAAAGGTGAGAAAGACAAAGGATGAATATATATGTAGGAGGCAAAGAAAGAAATATGTATATTGCTATTGGTCATTCTTAGGACCATATCGTTTTACATCATGAAATATACCATACATACCTGAGAATTTATAGTTTATATATCCCACCTAAAGCATAATAATTAACACCTATTATTAATATAATGAACATACCACGCAACTTTAAAAATAGAGCATTACTAAAGCCTTTGGAGTCCACTGCGAATTCCTAAGTAATCACATTCCCATCCATTTAGTCACCCCCTTCCTCAAATTTATATTTCTCATCTATTTTTTTGTAATTACACTCCAATTGTAAGTATTCATAAATAATAAATAGTTTTTCTGGTTTTGAATTTTGTACAAATGGAGTCACTCTTTTTTCTTCTATTATTGATACTTTGAACAACAAACAATATATTGATTTGATTCATATATGCTGGTCATTTATTTTCACTAATGTGTGTTTTTTTGTTGTTGAAAGAATAGGTAATTATTTATTTTATCTTTTGTTCTGTAGATTGCCAGTTTTGCTGTTTGTATCTTTTTTTCTTTTATAAACAACAAAAAGTATTTAAGTATTTTTGTAAATGTCTCCTACAGCATGGTCACAAGGAGTTAGAGTATATACTGGGATATGGCTTTGTTTACCTAAAGGATATTTGCCCCTTCAGTTTTGCAAGATAATTCCAATGTTTCCCAAACCAGTTTACACTCATACCAGCCATATATAATGTTACTGTTGCTCTCAAACTTGGTTTGTCCACTGTGTTAGTGCTCTTCAATGTTATACATATAAAATAGTATATCATCACTTTATTTTGTATTTCCATCGATGCTAATGAACATCTATTTATATATAATATGTATTATAAATATACATATTTATATAATTTGGTTGCTTCCCTGTGTTTGTTTCTATGGTTAGGTAGAACACTGTGTTTCCTGGAATTGGTAAGTGGCCTTGTGCAGTAGGTGACCTGTGGGCTGTGCTCATGATCTTGTAGTTGAGCCTGGATTGCTATTGGCTTCTTGGGGAGGAGTTGACCTGATAACCAGCTGCGACTACAGTGGGAAAGTTGCTGTGCAGGAGGCCAGGCCCAGTCTGAGGCAAGGCAGGCTGGTGCTAGTGCAGGGTCTTGGGTCTTTTATTGATAGGTTTGGGACATGCTGTCACCAGCTGTTTGAGAGATTTCAGCAGAGTCTGAAGCCTGAGCCAGGACAGGCCATTACATGGAAAAACTGCTACAAATACCTTGGTGGGCTGCAAACTGGATGGAGTGGGGTCTCAGGGAATCTCCAGTTCTGAATAAATAGTATGTTCCAGACTGTTATGGCTGCCAGTCAACCCTGGGAGAGGGGAGTTCCTAGCTCAGGAACAATGACCCTTCCAAGCACCTCTGTCTGGGAGAAAGCTGTCCCTGAGTTCCTGCCTTGGTGCAAGACAATCCAGTTCCCCCAAGTATGTCTGGGTCCCCTGAGCTGGAGCTTGTTAAAAGCTGGACCGTGTAAATTTGTGCACTGGCCCTTTAAGAGGGACACCTGGGATTCCAGCAGCCTCTGTGTCACTGAGCCAAAACACAGATGGTTTTTAAGGCCAGGAGTTATAGGGACTTCTCTTCCCAGCTCTGAGTTGGGGGTGTGGTGTGGGTCTGGGACCCCTTGTTCCTCATAGGCAGCCTCCACAGGGACGATCTCCTTCCAGATTAAAAAAAACAAACACATTTGGGTGATGGACCAGTGCGTTCTGCACCTCCCTGCCTCTTGCCAGTCTCAATGTGCTTTCTTCGTTACTTCTCTGGTTGTAGGGCTTCCATTCAGCCAGTGTGTAGGTGGTTCTGAATGATGGTTGTTTTCTATTTTAATTGTAATTTTGATGTAATTATGGGAGGCAGACAGTATAAGCATTTATCTATGTCATCATCTTGGTTCCTTGTTCTAGTCCCTTTTAAAAAATAAGTTCGTATTTAACTATTTCAACCTCTATTTTACTCAAAATCATACTAAGGATAGAAAGCCTGTAATCTTATAGAGAGTAAGCAAATAGGAACAGAAGCCAGATAGCCCGATTAAGAACGCATGTCTTTACTGAGGTCTGTAGAACATTTAGGTGAGGTACAAATAGAGTTGTAAAATATTTGGTTATTATGTAGCATAGTTGGGAATGTGGTGTTATAATCTGACAACAGAATGTCCATGTGTATTTCCACAGTATAGTGTCATAGGAATTCAGGCACATATCAAACTTATTGTCTCGTATATCTGAGTTCATTCACATTAAATATAGATTCAACACTCTTTTTCTTTGTACTCTTAATTGCATATGAGGAGTTTTCCTTTTCAAGCTTGCTCAAGAGCATCAGCATCACTCCTGTCAATCTTAGTGCAATAGTGTTGAAGTTAATAAAATGCATGAAGGTATTCTACCTTGAGGAAACTGACATTAAAAAAAAAAAAATCAAACAAAAGAAAACATTTAGAAGCAGCAAATCAGTAAGTATTAATACACTGACAGCATGCATATAAATGAGCCACAAGTATATGTTTGTTTGTTTTTTTCTGTTGCTCTCTGTTGGTTTTCTTTTGCTTTCTTGAAATTGTGAATACTATGAAACCTGCTTGGCAGCGGCGGGGGGCGGGGGGGTGGAAGGGATAGGGGAGGGGGAGAGTGTGTGCACTATTGTATTGAGTGAAATTGAAAAAGTTCATGGTTTTCTGTCCTATTTTTTTTCTTTCCTAAGTAGTCACTCCAATTTATCTAAAACATTTAGCTTATTGAATTTCAGCCTTTTGATTAAGCAATGAATATATTTTTGATTTGATCATGTGCTTTGATCATTATTAAGAGAGATGAGCCCAAAGAGTCAGTCTTTGTGCTCCAATGCCCCCTTTGTGTCAGACAAGGCTGCTACCAAAAGAATGGCATCCACTTTTGCCTGCTGACAGGCAGTTTCCATTTATCATGGCCAGAGAGTACAATGGGCGACTTCAGTAAGCCTTAACTATATTTTTATTATTCGGATACAGAGGAAAGTCAATTTTCATTTCATTTTACTCTGGTTTCCTTAGTAAGGATTTATAGAAACCTGAATGAATACAGTGTATTTTGAGACATCCAATTTCCTAAGATGTAGGTGCTCTTCAAAGTGAGTAGTCCCAGAATTACATTTTTCTCTAAGATTTTTTTCTACTTGAAGGTGATAAAAAGATGAGCCAGAAAAAGTTACTTGAAAAAAAATTATAGCGCTTAAGATTAGATGTTTAAAAATAATGAGTCAAAAGACCTATTTCTAACGGTAAAAATGAAAATACTATACTTTCAGAAAATACCTTTCTTTTTTTTCAGTTAATCCTCATCTGAAGATATTTTTTCCTTAGATTTTTTGAGAGCTTTGTAAGGAGGTAGTGAAGGGGAGAGAGAGAAATAAAAAACATTGATGCAAAAAAGACATATCAGTTGGTTGATTCCTGCACATGCCCTGACCAGGATCTGGGATTGAACCTGCAACCCAGATGTGTGCCTTGACCCCAAAGTGCCTGGGTCTGTACTCCAACCACTGAGCAACATCAGCCAGGGCAGGAAATACTCTTTTTATACAAACATGGAGATAATATCTGATTATATTTTATTATTATTTTTTTAAATAAATCTTTATTGTTCAGATTATTACAGATGTTCCTCTTTTTTCCTCCCTTAGCTCCCCTCTACCTGATTCCTCCCTCTACCCCCCATGCTCTTACCCCCTGCCACTGTCCTCATCCATAGGTGTAAGATTTTTGTACAAACTCTTCCAGCACACTTCATGCCCCTTTCCCCCCCAAGAATTGTCAGTCCAATCCCTTTCTAGGCCCCTGATTCTATTATATTCACCAATTTATTCTGTTCATCAGATTTTTTTATTCACTTGATTTTTAGATTCACTTGCTGATAGATACGTATTTGTTGATAATAATTTTTATCTTTACCTTTCTCTTCTTATTTCTCTTCTTAAAGAATACCTTTCAGCCTTTCACATAATACTGGTTTGGTAGTGATGAACTCATTTAGCTTTTTCTTGTCTGTGAAGCTCTTTATCTGACCTTCAGTTCTGAATAATAGCTTTGTTGGGTAAATAATCTTGGTTGTAGGTTCTTGCTATTCATCACTTTGAATATTTCTTGCCACTCCCTCTGGCCTGCATAGTTTCTGTTGAGAAATAAGCTGACAGTTGTATGGGTACTCCCTTGTAGGTAAATAACTGTTTTTCTCTTGCTGCTTTTAATATTTTTTCTTTGTCTTTTGCCCTTGGCATTTTAATTATGATGTGTCTTGGTGTGGTCCTCTTTGGATTCCTTTTGTTTGGGGTTCTCTGCACTTCCTGGACTTGTCTTTTCACCAGGTAGGGGAATTTTTCTGTCATTATTTCTTCAAATAGGTTTTCAATATCTTGCTCTCTCTCTTCTTCTGGCACCCCCATAATTCAGATGTTGGTATGCTTGAAGTTGTCCCAGAGGCTCCTTACATTATCTTCATATTTTTTGGATTCTTTTTTCTTTTTGTTTTTCTAGTTGGGTGTTTTTTGCTTCCTTATATTTTAAATCTTTGGTTTGATTCTTGAGGTCCTCTAGTCTACTGTTGGATTTCTATATAGTATTCTTTATTTCAGACAGTGTATGCTTAATTTCTGACTGGTCCTTTTTTTTTTTTGCATTCTCATTAAGATCCTTGAAGGTCTCACTAAGTTTCTTGGCAGTTTCTAGAAGATTCTTGAGTAACCTTATAACCAGTAGTTGCTTTTCTCCATTTCTTTCAATTGGTATATTTGTCTTCGCATTTTGGCTGCTTCCCTGTGTTGCAGGAGTGGCTTTGTGTTGTAGATGACCTATAGGGCCCAGTGGCTCAGCCTCCCCAATCACCTGCGGTGGATACTCTTGGTGCACCCCTTTGT